GCGGGATCTTTTAGTTGTGGCATGCGAACTCTTAGTTGCAGCACGTAGGATCTGACCATTAGGAGCATGGAGTCTTAGCCACTGGGCCACCAGGGAAATCTCCCTCTGCCCATTTTTTTTTTAATAAATTTATTTATTTTTGGCTGCATTGGGTCTTCGCTGCTGCGCACGGGCTTTCTCTAGCTGTGGCGAGTGGGGGCTACTCTTCGTTGCAGTGCGTGGGCTTCTCGCTGTGGTGGCTTCTCTTGTTGCAGAGCACGGGCTCTAGGCGCACGGGCTCAGTAGTTGCGGCACGTGGGCTCAGTCGTTGTGGCTCACGGGCTCTAGAGCGCAGGCTCAGTAGTTGTGGTACACGGGCTTAGTTGCTCTGCAGCATGTGGGATCTTCCCGGACCAGGGCTCAAACGAGTGTCCCCTGCATTGGCAGGCGGACTCTTAACCACTGTGCCACCAGGGAAGTCCCTCTGCCCATTTTTTAATCAGATTATTTTGTTGCTCTTGAGTTGTGTGAGCTCTTTATCTACTTCAGATATTAACCCCCTATGAGGTAAATGGTTTGCAGATATTTTCTCCCATAGGTTGCCTTTTCACGTTGCTAATTGTTTCTTATGCAGAAGCTTTTAGTTTGATGTGGTTCCATTTATTTGTTGTTTCTTTTGGTGCTTGTGCTTGTGGTGTTATGTCCAAAAAAATTGTTGCCAAGACCAATGTCAGGGAGCTTTCCCCCTATGTTTTCTTCTATGATTTCTATGGTTTTCAGGTCTTATGTTTAATTCTTTAATCCATTATGAGTTAGTTTTTGTGTGTGGTGTAACATACAGGTCCAGTTTCATTCTTTTGCATGTGGCTGTCCAGTTTTCCCAATATCATTTATTGTAGAGACTGCCCTTTCGCAGTAAGGGTTCTTTGCTCCCTTGTCAAATACTAGTTGACTGTATAGGCGTGGTTTTATTTCTGGGCTCTCAATTCTGTTCCATGTGATGGTTTTTATGCCAGTACCATACTGGTTTGATTACTAGAGCTGTGTAATACACACACCCGGAAGTGTGATGCCTCCAGCTTTGCTCTTTCTCAGGATTGCTTTGGCTATTTGCAGCCTTTTGTGGTTCCATACAAACTTTTTGATTTTTTTTTTTCTATTTCTATGAAAATGCCATAGGAATATTGATAGAAATTGCATTCAGTCTGTAGATGGCTTTGGGTAGGATGGACATTTTAACAATATTAATTCTTCTGATCCATGAACACAGGATATCATTCCAGTTATTTGTGTCTTCAGCTTCTTTCATCAAAGTCTTATTCTTTGCAATATACAGATCTTTCACCTGCTTGGTTATATTTATTCCTAAATATTTTATTGTTTTTCCTAAGTATTCTATTGTTTTTGATGCTATTGTGAGTGTGATTGTTTTCTTTATTTCTTTTTTAGATATTTCATTGTTAGTGTATAAAAATGTAACTGATTTATGCATGCTGATTTTGTATCCTGAAATTTTACTGAATTTGTTGTTACTAAAAGATTTTTGGTGGCATCTAAGATTTCCTATATATAAGATCATATCATGTGCAAATAGAGACAATTTTATTTCTTCCCTTCTAGTTTGGTTGCCTCTTATTTATTTTTCTTGCCTAATTGCTCTGGCTAGAACTTCCAGTGTGTTGAAAAGGAATGATGAGAGTGGGCATCCTTGTTTTGTTCTGATCTTAAAGGAAAAGATTTCAACCTTTCACCATTGAGTATGATGTTAGCTGTGAGCTTGTAGTATGTGGCCTTTGTTATGTTGAGGTACGTCCCTTCTGTACCCAGTTCATTGAGAGTTTTTACCATGAAAGGATGCTGAATTTTGCCAAATGCTTTTTTCTGCTTCTATTGAGATGATCATATGATTTTTATGTTTTACTCTATTAATATGGTGACTCACAGTTACTGATTTGTGTATATTGACCCATTTTTCATCTTAGGGACAAATCCCCCTTGACCATGGTATATGATCCTTTTAATTACTTTTGAATTTAGTTTGCTAATACTTTGTTGAGGATTTTCACATCTATATTCATCAGGGATATTGGTCTATAGTTTTCTTGTACTGTTCTTATCTGGCTTTGATGTCAGGGTAATGCTGGCCTCATAAAATGAGTTTGGGAGTGTTCCCTCTTCTTCAATTTTTGGAAGAATTTAGGAAGGATTGGTATTAATTCTTTAAATAAATGTTAGTAGAATTCACCAGTGAAATCATCTAGTCCTGGGCTTTTCTTTGTTGGGAGGTTTTTGATTACTGATTCGATCTCCTTACTAGTAATAGTTTGTTCAGATTATCTATTTCTTCGTGATTCAGTTTTGGTAGGTTGTAGGTTTCTAGGAATTTATCTGTTTTTTTCTAGGCTATCCAAGTTGTTGGCATATAAATAGTGGTCTCTTATGATCCTTTGTGTTTCTGTGGTATCAGGTGCAATGACTCGTCCCTCATTTCTGATTTTATTTATTTGAGTCCTCTCTTTTTTTCCCTAGTTAGTCTAGCTGAAGGGTCCACAACCAGGACAGAGGTTTGTCTGTCTCTCATCTGACACACAGCTGGGCAAGACTCCTGCCAGGTCCCTTGGCATATGTTGCTGGATCCCACAGCTCCCACAAAGGAAATTTTGTCCGCAGATGGATGCCAAATTGTTGTTGAGGGGGATACAATCTAGGGACAGCCATCTTGCTGACATCCAAGTATTTCATCTTGTACGACGTTGGTCCTTCCCAATGGTCCTTCTGCCACGTCAGTGCTGTTACAATAAAATTCTAACCTTTCGGTTTTTTTTTTTTTAATGGGAATGGGGGAACCTATATATATATATTTTAAACCTGACAAATGTGAAAATAATCAAACATTTTTGGGAAAGAAATGGAGGGCCATTTGTCCACCAGGTATGAAAATGCACTCTGGGGAATTCCCTGGCAGTCCAGTGGTTAGGACTTGGCGCTTTCACTCCGATCCCAAGTTGGGGAACTAAGGTCCCACAAGCCACACGGTTCAGCAAAACAAAAAGAAAGAAAGAAAGAAAGAAAGAAAATGCATTCTGAAGCTACCATAATTAAAATAGCACAGTAGCACAGTCTGGACAGAGGGAGAGACACAGAGTAAGAGGAGGGGAGGCCAGCCAGAGCCTGGAGCCCCGGGGAGCTGAGGGCAGCAGGACGAGGGTTCAGGGTGGACAGAGGGTGGGCTCTTCTTTAACAGTGTGGGAGATGGAGGTGGCTCTCCATCAGGAAGGAGCCCAAACCAGATCCCTGCAGCGTGCCAGCTCACAGGTACAACCCACAGGGGTTAGAGCTAGATGCTTTCAAATTACAGAAGTATTGGAAAGGGCAGAAGTAAGCTGTTTTCATTGTCGTGGGCTAGGGAAGGTCCTCTTAAGAAGGCAATAAAAAAATTACCCAGTTTCACAAATTAAACATTAGAAGTTTTGAATGTCAAAAGACACATGAAAAAGTTGAAACATAAGTGACAGAATATACGTGTGACACACAGACCAGGGATCAGCCCCTTCGTGTGCCAGGAGTGCACTCAAAACAGGCAACAGCTCAGCGGACAAATTAGCAAAGTCCACGAATGGGCATAAAGAGGAAAATTTTAAACAATGAATAGAGATGAACAGATGCTTGGTCTCATTCACGGTCACAGAAACGCAGGTTAGCCCGAGACACTGAGCTTGGGGAAGCTGCAGAGGCCGCGAGCTGGAAGGGGGAGGGGGTCTGGCCCACACACACATGCACAGACACACGCACACGGCTGGGCCGGTGACTCACAAGGGAAGCTCCTCAGCAGCTCCGAAAACTGCAGATGTAACGGATGTAGCCCAGATTGTAGCCCCACTTGTGGGGCCTGAGGCCTCGTGAACACACTGTGAATGCACAGAGACGTCCACGTGAGGACGGCCCCTGCAGCGCTGGTCACAACAGCAAAACACAGGAACTGCCCTGAGTGGCGAGGGGCGGACCCCCACGTGCCCAGCTCCTGAGACAGACGCTGGCAGGGAGGGGGGTCAGGAGGGCGCGTCTCAGCCAGGCAGCCAGTGGAAACCAGACAGCCCCAGCCCTAGAACAACAGCAGGAGCCGGTAGTCCCAGACTTCCCCACAGACCAGGAAGGTGGGGTCTGAGGGTCATGTGAGGAGGCCGGGCAAGACGTCCCTGACAGGACCCCACCACTCAGCCAGGCTGAGGCTGGCCCTGGCTAGGTGTTGACCCTGGACCAGAGTGGGCCCAGGGCTGGAGGTGGGGGACTCACTGGTTGGGGTGGGGAGAGCACCGGGGCAGGGAGGTGGGGAGAGCCGGCCTCTGGGGGCCCGGCCTCTACTCCTGAGCTGTGTGACCCACCTCTCTGGAGTCACGTGGCCCAGGGCCCCCACCAGCTCCTCCTGGCCCAGCTGTGCGGCCCCGGGCAGGTTCCTGAACCTCTCTGGTCTCAGCTTCCTGTGAGTGAAGCGGGGATGATGAAGCCCCACGTGCACGGTCCTGGGATGAGGCGAGAAGGCCAGATGGTGTTGGAGGACACCTGGCCGCGGGGGTTCGGCAGCCCCTCCAGGACCCAAGGGCTGAGGCCTGCCCTGTGAGCCTGTCCCAGCAGGCATGGGGTGAAGAGCCCCTCTCTCACAGGGGAAAACCCTGACTTCCAAACTGCAAGAAACCTGCCTTTCCTCCTCCTCAAATCGGTTTTTGAAGCATATACTTGAAAAAGAATAGGCTGGCCCTTTGAAGACAGGGCCTGTGCCAGGCGAGGGCCTGTGCCGGGGAGGTGGGCTGGGGTGGTGGCGCGGGGCCGGCACAGACCCCAGGCCCGGGAGCATGGGGGTGGCCCGGGGCCAGGAGAGTCGCCGCGCTGGGGGCAGGGGAGGCGGCCCTGTAAAGCGCAGGTGCTCCTGGCCCAGAGGAGCAGCGGCTGCCTGGGGACAGGTGCTGCCCGGGAGGCTGCGAGGCCCTGCCCCACGCCCAGTGGGTTCTCTGGTGCTGCCGCAGGCCCACATCTACTCTCTGGGGGCCACGCTGAAGGCAGCCCTCGACTATGTGACGGAGCCCGAGCCCCAGCCCAGGCTGAGCCGGGAGCTGGAAGCGCTGCTGGGCCAGATGCAGGCCGAGGACCCCCGGGACCGGCCCGACCTGCAGGTAGGCGCGAAGGCAGCCCCCGCTTCCCCCAGGCACGGCCCTGCGCCCCGCGCGCCCCCAGCCAGCGCGCACGCACAGCCAGTGCGCACACGCGGGCCCCCACCCGCCCATCACCCGGGCTCCTTACCTCTTTACTCTGCATTTTTGCGATGAACGGCATGCATTATAACCATCACGGGCAGGACAGAATCCGCTGGTTTCACGAAGCGGATTCTGTCCCACGGGGATCATGTAGCTCAGGACGCCCCGCTTCGTGATCCCGGCGCCTCGAGCGGAGCGGCGAGGGGGGACGGGGGCTGGGGCGGGGCTGAGCGCTGGCTCCGGTCACAGAGCATCATCGCACTGTGCGAGGAGAAGATGCAGCTCACGTCCTCCTGCCACCTGTGCCAGAGCCTCTCGGCTGCCGGGAGGAGGGTGCTCTCCATCGAGTCCTTCGGGGCGTTTCAAGGTAAGCACACAGGTGGACGAGCCTGCACACACGCCCAGGCATGTGCACGCCCTCACACATGCACACATGGGTGTGCACAAGCATTAACACGATCACGTACACACACGTCACACCAGCGTGTTCGCCGTGTAAGCCACCCACGCTGACATGCACACGGATGCAGACAGATCACGTGTGCTCCCACAGCACACATGGAAACATACAAGCATGTGCAAACTCGGACACACCTATTTAGACTATTAACACACAGCGAGCACACCCCCGTGCACACGCAGCACACACCCCCAGTTTCCCACACGCACAAACACATCTGCAAACGTGCACACACTTACACGCTCTGACCCACAATTGGAGGTGAGAGGCAGGTCATATGGGAAGTGACTGCCCTCAGGACCGGTCGCCTCTGTCCTCTCCTGTGGGCGTTGGGGACACGGACACAGCACCGCCAGCCTGGTGGCCACACAAGCTGTTGCTGAAGCGTCTGGGATTTTCACGGCTCACAAGGCATAACCTTGGGTGGCATTTTGAACAAATGCCAACGTCTGCTCTGCACTGTGCTCGCAGCAGGGAGCCTGGAGGGTCCTGAGGGGAGGTGTGGAGCCTCTGGGGGCGGCAGGGCCCCTCCCTCAGCCAAGCGAGCGGCATTTCCCACCACGCTGGCATTTGTGACACTGCAGCACCAGGCCCGCTGGCGGCTCTAACATCAGGGAGGGCGTTAACGCTGAGAGCAGAGGCTCCGTCGAGGGGGCTGCAGGCCACTGGGAGGGGAGGGCGCGTGTCTCTAGAGGGGCTCACACAGACACGCGTGTGGAGGATTGTACGTCAGGACGAGCTGGGGCTGCTGCCAGGTTTAATTTATTCCTTTGGGGAGCATCACTGTGTAACCGTAATAGCAAAACCATGTGCTTTTTGGATGAGCTAATTAGACAGGCCTCAGGAAACCCCTTCGGGAAGCTCATCCTGGATTGGGTGGCGGGGGGGACCGAGAGCCTTCGGAGACTCAGTACTTAGCCAAGATGGTGTGATTAAGGAAGCAGATGAGGACGTTTCTGGGCCAGTCCTGAGGGAAGGGGTGGGGGCCTGGGAGGCCCTGTGCTCTCTGTGATGGGTGGGGGTCCAGGGGTCCTGCAGGAGTGGGTGCCTTGGTGGCCGTGAGCGTGGGGATTGCAGGGGGAGGTCGATCCTGGCCGTGGCCCTCGGCTGTAATCACGTCTTGCTTTTGCCCAGATGTCAGTGAGATCACCTGGAGGGAGAGACTGGCTCCAAAAAGTGTGGGGCCCAAGAGGCAGCCAGGGGACCGCTCCGCGGACCCAGCGGCCCTGCCTGCCCTGGAGGGCCAGCCCCTGAGCCCCGCCGGAGAAAGCCTGGAGCACCCGGGGACCCCGCCCTCCAAGGCTCTGCTGTCAGCCCCTGTGAAAAACGGAGAAAGCCCGGGCCAGGAGGGGCTGGTCCCCGAGGGGCTGGCCTGCCTCCTCCTGGACGCCCAGCGGCCCCTGGGGGACCCGGACAGAGGCTTCCTGGAGAGGAGCCGCCTGAGGAAGGTGCAGACGCTGCCCCGGCTCCCGCCCTGCAGCCCCGAGGCCGGCGCCCTCCGCCTGTCGCTGACCAGCACGAAAACCCAGCCGCCGGCACCAGAATTCTTCCCTCCAGACCCCAGGAAGCCCTTTCCGGAGGGGAAAAATGGCCTTACCAGCTCCCAGGCACAGCCCGAATCCAGTCTGTGGCCGGAGCGAGACGCCGAGCTCCGGCGCGTTGGGGACAGGGGAGCGCATGGCCGGGGCCCCGCGGAGGAAAGCCCCCTGCCCGGTTCCAAGGGCCCTCGCGATGCGGGCAGAGACCCAGGGACTCCCGAGCCTGATGACGGGACTGCGGACAGAGCCGGGGAGCCGGGCGGAGCAGCCCTGGAGCAGGTGGGTGACCGTGGCCCGCGTGGCCCGGGAGGGGCCTGCGTGCACACGCACCGCGCACGCGCTCCTTCCGCAGGCGCGGGCTCTTGAGTACGAAGTAAGTCGCTCCCCTAAGGTGGGTGCCTGTGAGCATCTCGGGACGAAGTCACCTGGGGTTCGGTGGCCCGAACACACGTGTGTCTGTGCAGCAGTGCTGGCTCCACCAGCTTCATTCCCACCATGCTTTGCTGACCCAGAGGTCAAAGGGGAGGGCAGACTCTGAGTTACATTTTTATTCATATCCTGATAAGCACCTGAGGGTAATTTACTTGAAAAATATGGTTACTTTAAAATGAAAGCCATCCTGGAGACCCCAGTGCGTTGACACATGCTCGATGCCCACGTGCTGTCTGCTCAGCCCAAACCATCTCCACTGGCCTCCCCATGTCCACCCACCCGACCACACTCATGTACCCAGAGCGCCCAGGCACCGAAGTGAAAACCTCAGGCCTGAGCCCAGGGCTCTGCTCACCTTCAAATGCCTGCCAGCCTCACAGACAGCCCACCTCCTGGATGGGTAAACTGAGGCTGGGGGCCACCATGAGGAGGGTGGGTGGTCGCTGAAGGGCAGAGCTGATTGGGAGCCCAGCCATGGTCTTAACCACCAGGCTTCCCTGCCCCGAAGGCTCAAGGGATCAGGGCCCACCAGACCTCGGCCCCCACACAGGTCACAACCCGTCAGGTGTCGGGGCTGGTCCAGAGTCGGGGACCCAGATCTCCTCTGGAGAGCACGTCCTGGGTGCAAAGCTGGCTGCTCCAACCCCACATGTAGCAGGAGGCTTGGGGGGCCCTGTGCCCCAGAACCTGGGCCCCTGGCCAGGCACAGGCTGGATGAGGCAGGCAGTGAAGTCTCAGGACCGAGGCAGCTACACCCTGGGCACAGAGGGGGGTCCAGGAGGGGTAAAGACACTGCCTCTGGAACCTTCCTCTGAACATGCACTTATGTGTCCAAGCGGGCGGTTGTACTCCCAGCTCTTCCCGTGGCCGCAAAGCAGAGAACTCCCTTCCAGCTGAACTCATTCTTCTGACTCTGGGACTTTAATCTGTGGGGGGGGCAGTACGAGGGAAGGGGAACCCATAACATAAAATTTACCATCTTAACCATTTCAAGTGTACGGGACAGTGGCATTAGGTACATTCACACTGTTGTGCAATCATGACCGTCATCCATCCCTGGAACTTTGTCATCATCCCAGACTGAAACTATGTCCGCATTAAACACTTACCCACCATCCCTGCCCCGGCCCTGATAACCGCTCATCTACTTTCTGTCTCTACGGGTGTGACTGCTCTCAGTCTTTGATAGAAGAGAAATCATAATGTTTGTCCCTTTTTGACTATCTTACCTCACGGACCACAGTGTCCTCAGGCTTCGTCTATGTTGTAGCTGTGTCAGAATTCCCTTCCTTTTTAAGGCTCAATAGTACCCATCTTATGGACGGACCACGTGATGCTTATCCATCCATCCACCAATGGTGTTTGGGTTGCTTCCACATGTTAGCTCTCGTGAATCATGCTGATTTGAACATGGGTGTGCAAATACGTCTTCAAGACCCTGCTTTTAAGTGGAATTGCTGGGTCAGATGGTAATTCTACGTCTGATTCTTTGAGGAGCCTCTGCTGTCTTCCACATCGTTGCACCGTTTTACGATCCCACCTGCCGTGCACAGGTGCTGGTTTCTCCACGTGCACCCCCAGCACCTGTTGTGCTGACGTGGGGACTCTCCCAGCCCGTCATGCCAGGAGTGCACTGTGTGGGGCAAACCCCACGTGTTTGAGGTGGTCCCTGCCCTGCCGTCTTCCTCCATGCGTCCCTCTGAGGTGCCCACACGCTGAATGTGGCTCCTCCCCCCGCCCCCCTCAGGGCGTCTCCCTGCAGGACCTCCTGTCTAAGCTGGGCCGGCCCTTCAAGGAGTACGAGCTCTGGGCTCTGTCCCACGCATGCCTCAGCACCCTGCGGACGCACGGCCAGCACCCAGGTGACGCCCTCCCATGGGTCCTCGTCCAGCCCACCGACCCCCAGCATGTCCGGGCCAGGACCCAGGGCCACACGTGGCCTCTGTCGCCCGTGTGGGCTGTGTGGACAGCCTGGGGCTGGGTGGCAGTGTCCACCCTGTGAGCCGGGGGTGGCCTGGGGGTATCTACTCTGGTCTCAGGACCAAGGGGGTCAGAGGGCAGCTTCAAACGTGGGCCTCCTCCTGCTGAGGAGGGGCGGAAGCTGTGCGGTGGCCCTGGGCCACACCCTCTCAGCAGGGGCGACGCTGTACCCAAGGAGACGAAGGTTGGCTGGGGCGGGGGGGTGGGGGGTGGTCCTCGGACGTTAGACTCGTTTGTGACCCCTGAAGCTCAGCCCTACCAGGCAGAGGGACCAGCCTCCGGCCCCACGGTGGTCCTAGCAGGGCAGGGGCGCTGCTCTCTGGCCTCCCTCGGGTCCTGTGAGCCTCAGGCCTGTGGGTACGAAGCGCCGGCACCCAGCCTCCCCTGGGACCCCTCCCAGGGCCGCGCTCGGCGGGTGGGTCACGTCCCTCTGTCCCCCTCCTCTTCCCGCAGCTCCTGTGCCCCAGGGCTGGCTCAGATGGCCCTTCCATGGCCTGTCGCCCAGGCTTCTGGGAAGGGGAGCCAGCACTTGGCCCCTGTGCTGTGTCCAGCGAGGGCCCCAGCGTCCCCGCACTCCCTGGGTGGCTTGGGAGCCCGTGGGGTGGCTGAGAGAGGGGGCTGCCCCACGACCGTGCCTCTGCCGGCCCTGAGGGGGATCAGGCCCCCCAGTGAGTCTACAGCCGCCCTGACCCTCGCCTTCCCTTGCAGCCTACCTGTGTCTGGACTCCGTGCTGGTGGCCGAGGATGGAACCGTGCTTTTCGGGCCACCTCCCGCCAGCGGTGCGTAAGTGGGCCCCCCCGGGGGGCTGCGCTCTGGTTCCGACAGCCGAGGCTGAAGGCAAGCTCAGTGGGTTTGGGGTTTTCTGTCTCAGGTGCTTACAACTCGTTCTTTCTGGCTCCCGAGGTCGCAGAGCAAAAGCTGACGACTGAGAAGGTACCTGGGCCCCCCCACCCCTTCCCGTGGCCCCTGCCCCGCTCCGTGGTGCCCACGCCCCCGTCCAGAGAGCCTGAGAGGGGGAGGGGTGGGGAGAGGATGGGCCCAGCATCAGGACTCAGCAGGGTCAAGGCGACCCCCCCAACGCAGCCCCCGCATCCAGAGCCCAGCTCTGCAGGGGCCTCCCGGAGGGTGACGGGGTGTCATCTGAGCCTGGACTTCAGCTCCGGGCAGTGCTCACAAGACCCCACAGCTGAACTTTCAGGGATGTTTGCCAGATGCTTGTCAAACACAGCCGTTATTAAAAACTCAATTGTACAGACTTAAAATCAAGTAAATTATATTCAGAACCAAGGTAGAACTTCTGCTTTCGGGAACGTGGGGGAGACGTAAGTTCCCTGCCCCCCAACAAAGCACGCCGTTCTGAAAGCTGGCGCGTGAGGACAGAAAGGCCAGGGCCCTGGGCCCCGGGGAGCGACAGTCCTAAGAGTGCCGGGTGTCCTTCCTGCCTCACACGTGGAGGATGAGGAAGCACATCTGGGAAACACCAGCGGACACAGCAGAAGCCCAGTGGAAGCCCGCATGCTGGAGCTGGAGCAGTAGGACAAAGGGAGGGTGGCCCGCCCAGGCTAGGTGCTGTCGGAAAAGGCTGAGCATCCAGCCTGTGACAAGGACCCCTGCCCATCAGTGAGACGTGCCCCTCCCGGGGTGGGAGTGTAAGTCAGAGGAGGCCTCAGGAAGCGTTGGGACTTTCACCATCACCCAGTGGTAACGAGGCAACCTCCCCTCAAAAACAAAGAAAATCGCTAAAAATGAAATACTTAGATGTAAGTCTAACAAAGCATGTACGGGACTCGTATGCTGAAAACTAAAAAAGAGGTAAAGTCTCAACTCAGTAATCTAAGCACCCACCTCAAAAGAAGAGTGAAATAGACCCAAAGCAGAAAGAAGGAAACAGTGAAGCTGAGAGCAGGACTCAGTGAAATGAAAACAGAAAAACAGTAGAGAAAACCAGTGAAATGAAGGGCTGGCTCCTGGAAGAGACGAATAATATTAACAAACTTCTAGCAAAACTGACAAAGCAAAAAGAGAAGGAAGACACAAATTGCCAATGTCAGGAATGACTCAGGGGACATCCCTGCAGACCCTGCAGACGCCAAAAGGGTGATGGACATCCCTGCAGACCCTGCAGACATCAAAAGGGTGACGGAATACCACAGACAACTCCCCTGCAGACCCTGCAGACACCAAAAGTGTGATGGACATTCCTGCAGACCCTGCAGACACCAAAAGGGTGATGGAATACCACAGACAACTCCCCTGCAGACCCTGCAGACACCAAAAGGGTGATGGACATCCCTGCAGACCCTGCAGACACCAAAAGGGTGATGGACATCGCTGCAGACCCTGTAGACACCAAAAGGGTGATGGACATCCCTGCAGACCCTGCAGACACCAAAAGGGTGATGGAACACCACAGACAACTCCCCACAGATGAAACCAATGACTTAGATGAAATGGACCCTGCAGACATCAAAAGGGTGATGGAATACCACAGACAGCTCCCCACACATAAAATTCAATGACAGATGAAATGGACCAAATCTTTAAAAATATAAACTACAACTCACCCAAGATGAAACAGGCCTTTGAATAGCTCCATAACTGTTGAGGAGATTGAATTTGTAATTTTTTTTTTTTGCGGTACATGGGCCTCTCACTGTTGTGGCCTCTCCCATCGCGGAGCACAGGCTCCGGACGCGCAGGCTCAGCGGCCATGGCTCACGGGCCCAGCCGCTCAGCGGCATGTGGGATCTTCCCGGACCAGGGCACGAACCCGCGTCCCCTGCATTGGCAGGCGGACTCTCAACCACTGCGTCACCAGGGAAGTCCTGAATTTGTAATTTTTAAACTCTCAAAAATAAATCTCTAGGCCAAGACGATTTCACTAGGGTGGTATACCAAATGTTTAAAGAAAAATTAATACCAATTCTACACAGTCTTTTCCAGAAAACAGAAGTGAACATTTCCCAATCCATTTGATGAAGCCTAATATTACCCTGATACCAAAACCAGACAAAGGTAGTACAAAAAATATGTATATAGGTCAATATCCCTCATGAATATAAAGGCAAAAATCCTTAACAAAATATATGCAAATAGAATTCACTAAGATATAAAAACAATTATACACCATAAACAAGTGGGGGTTATTCCAGGGACATAAGGCTGGTTCAGTATTTGAAAACCAATCAGTGTAGTCCAACATATTAACCAGCTAAAGAAGAAAAATCCCATGATCACATTAACTGACGCAGAAAAAGCATTTGACAAAATTTAACACCCATCTATTAAAAAAAAAAAAAACTCAGAAAAATAGAAATCGAAGAAACTTCTTCAACTTAATAAAGATCATCTACCAAAAAAATTGTACAGTTAACATCATACTTAGTGGAAAGACTAAATGCTTTCCCCCTAAGATCAAGAACAAAGCAAGGATGCCCACTCTCACCACCCTATTCAACATTGTACTGGAAGTTCTAGCCACTACAATAAGGCAAGAAAAGCAGGTAAAAAGCATAAAGGCCAGGAAGGAAGAAATAATACTGTTTGCAGATGACATAACTGTCGACATAGAAAATTCCAAGCCATTCCAAAGAATCTCGAAAAAAGCCTCCCAGAACTTAGAATTGAGTTTTGAAAGGTCACAGGATATAAGATAAACATTCAAAAATCAATTGTATTTCTGTATACTAGAAATGAACATGTGGACACCAAAATTAAAAACACAGTACATGTACAATCACTCCCCCAAAAATGAAATACTTAGATGTGAATCTAACAAAGCAGGTACAGAATTTATGTGCTAAAGACTACAAAAGGCTGCTGAAAAAAATATATCAAAGAAAATCTTTGGAATGGAGGGCTAGGCAAAGAGCTTTTAGACTTGACACCAAAAGCACTATCCATAAAGTTTTCCACAAAAAGAAAAATGGATAAATTGAACTTCATCAAAATTTAAAACTGGCCAAGTGGCATTTATTCCATGTATGGATGGCTGACTCAACAGTTGAGAGTCAATGTAATACATCACATGGATGAAAGAAGAAAAATCATAACAATAGATGCTAAGCTTTTGACAAAATTTAGCACCCACTCATAATAAAAACTCTCAGCAAACTAGGAATAGAGGGAAATTTCCTCAACTTGATAAAGAATATCTACAAAAAAGCCAACAGGTAGCATAAGTAATGGTGAGAAACTAGATGCTTTCCCCCTAAGATTGGGAAAAAGGCAAGAATGTCTCCTCTCATCACTCCTATTCAACATCGTACTGGAAGTTCTAGCTAATGCAATAAGACAAGAAAAGAAAAGAAAATGGATGTAGATTGAGAAGGAAGAAATAAGACTGTCTTTGTTTACAGGTGACATGATTGCCTAAGTAGGAAATCCCAAAGAATCAACAGAAATCTCCTGGAACTAATAAGCAGTTGTAACAAGATTGCAGGTAGAAGATTAAAATACAAATATCAATTGCTTTCCTGTTTACCAGCAATGAACAATTGGAATTTGAAATTAAAAATACAATACCAGGGCTTCCCTGGTGGCGCAGTGGTTAAGAATCCGCCTTCCAATGCAGGGGACACAAGTTCGATCCCTGGTCGGGGAACTAAGATCCCACATACCCCGGGGCAACTAATCCTGCGCGCCACAACTACTAAGCTCGCACACCTCAACTAGAGACTGTGTGCTACAAACTACAGAGCCCACGTGCCCTGGAGCCTGTGCACCACAACTAGAGAGAAAAAAACAGCACACCACAACTAGCAAGAAGCCCACGCACAGAAATGAAAGATCCCGCGTGCCACAACTAAGACCAGACACAGCCATTTAAAAAATGATTAATTAATTAATTATTTTTTTAAAATAACATTTACGTTAGCACCAAAAAAATTACTTATGTATAAAATTTAGGAAAATGTGTATTAAGATTCATATGAGGAAAACTGTAAAATTCTGATGAAAGAAACCGAAAATGATCTAAATAAATGGAGAGATAGTCCATGTTCATGGATTGGAAGACTCAATATTATTAAGATGTCAGTTCTTCCCAATTTGATCTATAGATTCAATGCAATTTCAGTGAAAATCCCAGCAAGTTATTTTGTTGATATCAACGAACTGATTCTTAGGTTTTTATGTAGAGGCAAAAGACCCAGCATAGCCAACACAATATTGAAGGAGAAGAGCAAAGTCAGAGGACTGACACTACCCAGCTCTAAAACTTACTGTAAGCCACAGTAATCAGGTGTGGTTTCAGCAAAAGAAAAGACAAAAAATAAATGGAACAAAGTAGCCCAGAAATAAACCCACACAAATACAATCAACTGGGCTTTGGCAGAGGAGAAAGGACGGTCTGCTCAACAAGTGGTGCTGTAACAACGGGACATCCACAGGCCAAAAAAACCTTTACAGAGACCTTGGTGCACTTTCATAAAAGTTAACTCAAAATGGAACATAGGCCTAAAAGGAAATTCAAAGCTATAAAACTTCTAGAAAATAACAGGAGAAAATCTAGGCAGTGAGTCTTCAGATACCACACCAAAAGCATGATCTATGCAAGAAACACTCGATGTTAGATTTCATTCCAATTAAATGCTTGATTTTAATGCTGTGCTCTGTAAAAGACACAGTTAAGAGAATGAGAAGACAAGCCACAGATGGGAGAACTATTTGCAAAACACGTATCTGATAAAGGACTTGTATCCCAAATATGCCAAAAGCTCTCAGAAGTGCACAGGAAGAAAACAAATAACCCAATTAAAAAGTGGGCAAAAGATCTGAACAGACACCTCACCAGAGAAGGTATCAGATGGCAAGTGAGCACGTGAAGGTATTCTATTTCACACGGCATTTGGGAAACGCAACTTGAAACCATGAGCCACCACTACACACTTACTAGAAAGGCTAAAGTCCAAAACACTGACAGTACCAGATGCTAGCGAGGGTGTGGAGTGACACTGCCGAGGGGGGTGCAAGATGGTGCAGCCCTTAGGGAGACACTTTGCTGGTTTCCTACAAAACTAAACATGCAACGACCATACAACCCAGAAATTGCACTCATAAGACATTTTTCCTGGAGAAATGAAACTTATGTTCACACAAAGTCCTGGACACGAATGTTTGTGGCAATTTTATTTGCAGTAGCTACAGCCTGGAAACAACTCAGATGTCTTTCAGCGGGTGGCGCGTCCACACCGCAGAGCGGCAGCAGCGGTGAGGGGAACGGAGCGTTGACGAGGCGACCACCAGTTGATGGGGCTGAGAGAGAAAGGAGCCCCGAAAGGCCGCATATCGTAGGACTCCATTTATATGAAATGATGAAATTAAGAAGTGGAGAACAGATGAGCAGTTGCCGGCGACTAAGTTGGGAGGGGACAGGCCGGATCCTGGTGACGGAAATGTCCTGCATCTCCCGGCGTCCACGCCAGGGAGCAGGTTGTGATACCACGCTACAGCCTTGTAAGACGTCAGTGCGGTGGGGAGCTGGGTGGAAGGCACACGGGGTCCCACTGGATTACTTCCTACAGCTGTATGTGAATCTACAGTTACCTCCAAGTAAGAAGCTTAATTTTTTTAAAGGTTGATAAATACTCAGAACTAAGAATTTCCTCAGAATTTGCTCTAGTTGACTGTTGCCTGTGCTCCTGGGCAGGAGCCCTAGAGGAAGGGCCCATCTCTCCCCCTGCCCAGCTCACTGGCACCACCGTGGCAGCTTGGAGCTGGCCACGCGGGAGTCTTCACACCGTGGAAATCAGCAAATGCTGAACTCAGGGTTTGATTCCTTGTTTTGTCAATTGACTAGACTTGACGTAATGGAGGAAACATGAACAACACAAACTGAAAAGTGTGTCAGGTCTGTACAAAAGCTCTGGGAAATACTCCTCTGGGGATTCAGCCACTGTTACCTGACTCAGCACAGATGTCAGCTGTGTCTCTGGTTTCACTTTCTCTTACTTTTCGAGAGACACGAAGGTATCGGCCACGTGTACATCGGAACCACGTGTTGGTCACAGGTCGGCTGCAGATGCAAGGGTAGAGGGTGAAAATCGGGGAAGGCGTTCAGGGAGAAGCAGTTGACTCTGGAACTCACAGGGAAGGGCGCCGCCCTTTTCATTATTATTCTCAAGTGCGTGCGCGCACCCTTTCTATCAGCGTTAGAATAACCCTGTGCGCCAAGAGGCCTGGGCTCCCTGAGGTGCCACCTTTGCCCTCGTGGAGAGAGAGCTGGGAAGGGCCAGCCGGGGCGCCAGGTCTTCCTCGTCACACTGAGACTTAAAGGCCTGTGGGTACTTGTTAACCATGCAGATTCCCAGGCCAGGCCCCCGGGTTCTGGCTCAGGTTCTGCGGAAGCTCCCAGCCCCGGGGGACGGTGCCTGGGTGCGCCCTTGGCGGGGCCCGAGCGGGGGCAGGTCTGCTGAGCCAGCCGGCCGTCTCCCCTCCTCCACCCAGGCATCTGTGTACTGCGTGGCCGCGATCCTGTGGACAGCAGCCAAGTTCAGCATTCCCCGAGACCACAAACTGGCCCTGCCACGCAGGCTCAAGACGCTCCTCCTGCACATGGCCAGACGCAGCGCCCAGGAGCGGCCGTCCGCGGCCGAGGCCATCGAGGTAACTGGGCCGCGGGGGGCCCAGCTCAAGGTCCAGGGCCCGGGACACGGGTTCTTGTTTCTGGGGCAGGTCAGTGCTGTTGGACAGGGGAGGACATGGCTTCATTTGTGGACGGGCGGTGAGGGGTCTCTGCTGCTCAATGCCGGCCTTCCCCCCAGATGGTCCTGTGTCTCCAGTGCATCCACCGGCCGGAGAGTGGCTGGGGATGTCCTGGACCCGAGCGCTGACCCCTGACCCCCTGCAGCGCATCCCCCACATGCCCGACTTGCCCGCACTCCTCCGAGGGTCCTCCAGGCTGGGTCAGGGGAGCCCTGTCGCTCCGTGGCTTCCCAGCTCAGGACAGCCAGGAAGGACAGCTAGAGACTCTGAATTTCATCCCAGGCCCCTGAGGCTGGGGTGCACATGGCTCTGCCCAAGAAGGGGTGCCACGGGGTCCTCCTGGAGAGAAGCCCCCGGGCCGCCTGGCTGCCACCGCACACTCCAACAGGCTCCGCTGAGGGAGTGAAGCGGGCCGGTGCCCCAGGCGTGCTGGACGCTGGCCTGTGCTTGCTTTCAGACCTGCAGCGGTTACCTCCTGCACAGAGGCATGGACAGCAGAAAGATCCTAGCCCACCTGAGGGCATCGACCTGCACGGTAAGCTGGGCACCGCGGAGACCCCGCAGGCCCCTTATCCTACCCTGGGGCCGCAGAGGTGAGGCTCCTTGCTCTTCCGTGTTTACTGAATAGATGCAGGGAGACTCTAGGGCGGAAGGCAGGTCACCCTTCATCCTCCCGACGTGACTTTCCTTGGCTCCTTCACCGCCAACGAGCCCACAGAGCAGCCCCTCCCGCAGGCCCACACCTGGTCTCTGTTGACCCCTGGCACGTGCGGGCGGGGGCGCACCCTGGGGGTCCCGCCGAGGGACACTCAGTGCCTGTCGGCGTCCTGCCGTGCTGACCGGCCAGGGCCCCGTCGGGCAGTGACAGGGTCCCTCGGGTGCAGACGGGAGCACACAGCAACTCTGGGGAGTGTGGGTTCTGGCGGTCTTCCCATGCCCCGGAAACCCACCGGAACCCGGCTGCACTGGGCAGCCCCACGCCCCAGGGGCTCCCGCTCCAGAGAAACAGGCCTGCGAGTCAGCACAGGTGGGGGGCTCGCGCCGCGGGGGTCTGCTCTGCACCCCCGGGGCCGTGCGCCCGTCTCAACCGGGAGCCGTCCGTGTCCTTCTGCCCCAGGTTCGCCAGGAGGAAGAGACCATCGGTCTGCAAAACGCCTTCTTGGTGGCTGAACTGAGCCCCAGCACAGCAGCTGCGCCCAGGCCCGGCTCAGGTGGGCCCCGGGACCGGCCTGTCCCCACCGCCCCTGCCCTGCAGGCCCCTCGCCCCGCACCGCGCCCCCGCTGCCATCCCCCGAGAGGCTGCCTCCGGGAATCCAGCCCCAAGTGGACGCCACCTCCGACGTGCCCGCAGCTGGCCCCCGGCTGCCCTGCTCTGGGCTCCCGCCGGCCCCTCTGGCCCCGGCCTCTCAGGCCTCGCTCGAGTCAGCCCTCCTGTCTCACCAGCAGCCATAGCAGGCGACTCGCCTCCACCCCCGCACCCCGCACTGATGACCCAGCTCTTGTCTTGCCCTGTCTGCGCCTCAGTGGCACCTACGAAGACCCTTCCCCACGGGCCCGTCCAAGCCTCCGGCCTGTGGCTGGGTCTTCTGGCCTTTTCCGTCACTCCAGCCCCCCACCGAGCACCGCACCCCCTCCCTGCCTGCTCGGGGCAGCCCTGGACTCCAGGCCCCTTCCTCAGGCCTCTCCCTGGAGTCTCCCTTCCTCCCAGTGCCCCTGAGCCTTCCTGGGCCCTTCAAGTCAGCACCCCACTAAGGCCAGCACCCACTAAGGTCGGCACCCACTAAGGCCAGCACCCACTAAGGCCGGCACCCACCCTGCTCACCCCATGTTTGTCTCCAGGCTTCCTGCAGATCAGCAGTGACAGCAGGCTGGTGGCCGTGCAGGGGCCGGTGCCCGGCCAACCCTCCTGCCTCCAAGGGGCCACGTTGCTGCCAGAGGCATTCGCCTCCCCGGCCACTCACTTCAGGCCCATCGTCCTCGCTGCCAATGCTGGTGTCGCCAGGTGAGTGTCCCCACCCAGGGGCTGCCGGGCTGCCGGGCCCCCTGAACACTCTCTCCTCTCTGCTCGCAGGGACACGCTCGCCCTGACCTCGGGGCCGGCTGAGGGGCCTGAGGAGAGGAGAGGCCGGCTGGACGGGGAGGGTGATGGGAAGCAGGCTCCTGAGACCCATGGAGCGGCCACTGGCCTGAAGACGCCTGACCGGCCAGCACCCGGTTCCCCAGAGCCCCTCAGGGAGTCGACGCCAAGAGACTCAGCCCAGGGCTGCCCCAGCCCCCCAGCCCCCGCCCCGGCCAGCCCGCTGGAAGGGGCTGCACTGGTGATGCCCAAATCCCCGGCCCTGCCCACGACAACACAGATGCCACCCCTGGAGCGAGGGCCGAAGGAACCCATCCCAACTGCAGCTGCTTGTGGAGGCCTCGAGCCCCGCCTCCCCGGGCCCACCGCAGCCCCCCACAGTCCTTGCCACCCAGCCAAGCCGCCCAGGGGCAGGGCCACCCAGGTCCCAGGCCAGGAGCCCGAGGGCCCCCCGTCAGCCCCGCGGAGCCCCTCGCCGGCCACAGGGAGTCCCGACGGCCCCGGGGGAGCCCCCGTCAGGGAGTGGGATGACCGGGCCCCAGAAGGTCACCCGGAGTGGCCCTGCCCAGCAGACCACAAGCTCTGTCCGTCCAGCGCAGATGCCTTGCCCCTCTCACAGGGGACAGCCTGCCCGTCGCTGCAGGAGGCCACACGCCTCATCCAGGAAGAGTTTGCCTTTGACGGCTACCTGGACCACGGGCTGGAGGCTCTGATCATGGGTACCACGGGGCCACGGGGGCACAAGGACCAGGGACAGGCCCGGGGGGAGCCGTGCGCTGGGGGAGGTCACCACAGGAGGGCCCCCCATCCTCCTGTCTCTGCACAAAGGGCAGAGCCCCCAGGGGCCGGCCGGCAGAGGAAGCCAGCTGCACCCCGCCCCCCGCCGTACTCTCCGCCCCCACCAGCTCCCGAGACCAGGGGAACCCAGAAGAGCACCCATACGTTTTAACTCACCCCCGTGCTTTTCTTGCGAACTCAGGGGAGTATATTTACGCCTTGAAAGACCTCACCTATGCCACTTTCTGTGGGGCCATATCGGAGAAGTTCTGTGACCTCTACTGGGGGGAGAGGTTGCTGCAGAACCTTTTCAGAGTGGTGAACGGGAGGACGCCACCCTCCGAGAAGTAAGAGCCCCTCCTCGCGGCCTCCCACCCCCGCTGTGCCCCGAGGGCCGTCCTCCTGCCCCGCGTCCCACTCATCGCCCTCCCCAGAGCGACCACCTGCTGGGCCCCCCTTTCCTGGCCGAGGCCCGCTCTGCTTCCAAAGCTCTTCCTCAGGCAAGCGCTCCTCTTGGCAGGAGGGGGCCTTGTGGGGTCACGGGGCGCGGAAGGCACATCCGCCTCCCTGGGACCAGCCCAGGAGGCAGAGCAGCGGAGCCCGGAGGCCGGGTTTGGCTGCGGGGAGGCCCCTGCAGGGACGAGCGTCTGCCCCCCGCCCCGCTCCCGTCCAGCTCCCCTCCTGGCGGTAGAAGATGAGGTGACAGCTCAGGAGGGAGGGGGGCAGGCACCTTCCCTCTCCTGCCCCTTCCCCCAGCCCTCTTGGGCCCCACCCTTCACAGGACGCGCCCGGGGCGCCTCAGTGCCAGGCCTGGCCCAGCCCCTCCCGAGGGCTGCAGAGGGCCATGTTGCAGGGTGGGCGGGACCTGTGCCTGGAGTGGTCCAGCGCCCTGACGCCCTGACGCCCTGACGCCCGAGCTCACGGCAGCCCCGTCCCCGCCCCCTCCTGGTCCCCAGAACCCCACCCAGGGGCGGCGCACACCCTGCTCTCCACCCCAGGCAAGCCCCGCATTTTCACATCACTGGGGGAGCCGTCGAAGGACCCCAAGAGGCGGACGCCCAGAAAGTCGTCTGCTAAAGGGCCCGTGTCTGTGACGTCTGTGGCCTGTGGCCAGGCCGTCCTGGAGGTCTGGGGGGGCCTCGGTCACCGACACCCCCGCTTCGCTCCCAGGGGAAGCCTCTAGTAAGCCTGTGGGAGGGTCCCGGGGGTGCCTGCAGTGTCCTCCGTTCTGATGGCAGCACTTCCGAGGAGGCTGGGCCACAGCCCAAGGGCAGCGGTGGGACCAGCGCTCCGAGCACATGCTCACCGTCCAGCAAAAGGCCTTCACATCTCGGAGCGGGTGAGACAGAGGGCTGTGGGTTGAGACCCTCCACAGCTGGGTCTTCTCCACCCTTGGGGCCAGGTTACCCTGTGTCTCTCCAGGGTCCCAAGGGCAGGGCCCGTCCTCCTCTGGGGGGTCTGTACTGCGAAGGGGTCATTCTCCCCAGGCCACCAGGTGGGCAGCAAGGGCAAGGGCTGGGGCCAGCAGCTTGGTGTTGGGGGGCTCTGCATTCTTTCTTGGAAACGTGCCATTTAAAGACCCTAAGGCGTGTCTTCCTAGATGCAGAGCCAGGACTCCCTGATAACTGAAAACTGTAATTTCTCCAAATCTGGTCTGAGGGGGACTTGGCTTTGGGGACCATGTCCTTTAGGTTGTGTGACTACAGTCACACACAGGATGGCAGTGAGAGCCCCCCATACCGTGTGCACGCTTGGGAAACTGGAAAGCAAAATGGAGATGCCCAGGGAACAGCTCACGACCAGCTGGGACCCTTGGTTCCTGGGGGACGCTCTGCTTTGTCTGTTTACGGACAGTTCAGAGTTCCCTCGGGTCTCTGCCACAACTGTGCCCTGCATGCAGCCCATTTGGGAGGGGACCGAGGGACCCCGACCCTGAGGACCCTTTGCGGCTCCTCTGGAGCGGAGGTGGGGCCACCTGGCCATCCCGAGGGGCCTCCTGCCCCCTGCTAGGGACCTGTCGCCTCTCTGCAATCAGGGGCGGATTCTTCCCCGGGAACCCACGTTGCCGCGTGTGACCCGCCCCCCCTTCCTCTGTCCAGCGAAGGAGAAGCCGAGCGTGGACTCAGACGAGCTCTCACGGAGCAACTTTGAGGTGGGGTTTCGGCCTCAGAAGTCGGTAGCAGCTGAGAGGGAGCAGCCCCAGGCAGAAGAGGCCCGGCAGCAGGGCGGGGGCCTGGCTGGGGGCTCTGAGGCAGTGGCACGGCTAGCCCGGCCCCCGGAGGGCGGCCCATCCGTGAGCCCAGGCCCAGGCGGCTTGCAGAGCTGCAGCCCCGGCTGGTGCAGCGCCTTCTACGAGGCCGACTGCTTCAGCGCCGACGTGCACTGCTACGTGAAGGAGCTGGCGAGGCAGAAGGCCGCCGGGTGCCCCACTGCCAATGCCCAGACCCCGGTGAGTCCCGGGCTCCTGTCCACCGCTGGAAGGGAGGGTGCTCGGCCCCAGGGCGCCATGGGGCGTGAGGACGGGTTCACGCTGGAGCTCCCAGTACCTCGGGTGACAGGAGGGCCCCCGTGTCTCCCAGCCCTGGTGCCTGTCGGTCACCAGCAGCCACCACGCTGGCTGGGCCCTTCTCTGTGTGTCCTCCCGGGGTTGTGCTCATCTGCACGTGGCTGGGCCCCTCCCTGCGTGTCCTCCCGGGGCTGTGCTCATCTGCACGTGGCTGGGCCCCTCCCTGCGTGTCCTCCCGGGGCTGTGCTCATCCGCACGTGGCTGGGCCCCTCCCTGCGTGTCCTCCGGGGCTGTGCTCATCCGCACGCGTTCCCCACCCCCGTCTGGGAAAGGAGGTGGCTTTCCTCTGTTCTGGCTCCTTGGCCACCAGGGGACACGTGGCAGGAGGTTACCTCACGCTGGTGACCACAGTTGGGTTTGGGCATCAAGGTCAGCCCTCAGGCAGCACCACGAGATGAAAAGCAGCACAGAAGCACCTGGCCCGTGGCGGTCAACTCGGGCCAGGCCCCAGGGGCGTCTCTGGTGCGCAGCGCACTCTGCGTGCCGCCCGGCTCAGGGGCAGCCTGGGCTCCTCCCGGGTCAGCAGGGCGAGGGGACACCCTAGGCTGGAGAGTGTCCGGGCCTGGCCAGCCCGTGTGCAGGGCAGCCCCACAGAGTTCTGCACCCAAGGTTGCTGCCCGTGCCGTTGGGGGTCTGCCCCCCAGTGACCAGGAGCCCTGACCTGGGCTGCAGCCCCACTCCTGAGTGGCCAAGAACTCAGGCCTGACCTGGGCTGCATCCTTCCCCCCGTGACCAGGGGCTCCCACCTGGGCCACAGCCACACAGGGCCCGGGCCCCAGGGTAGCAGACAGGAGGGAGCTGTCAGCGGCCTGGCGTCCCACTCCTGCCCCCACCCGCACCATCTGCAGCCTCCGAGCCGTGAGCCCCAGGAGCTGCATCTCCACTCATGTCAGCACCGTCCGAACCTTCTCGCTGGGTTACTCAGTCCCAAGCTAGAAAGAGACCTGCATGCCTCAGGCCTGGAGCACCGGGCATGGGCCCATGTGCTTGGGAATCGTGCTGCCCCCTCCGGGTTTCCTTAAAGCCGGGCCCCGAATGTGCTTGGCGTCGTGCACTAGGGGAGTGGGGGGGGCTGCAAGGACTCAGGCCTCCCATGGGGACTGGTGAGGACAGCTGGCACGGCAGACGTCCACCAGACACCCTGGCCCACCAGTGCAGTATCCAGGTTGGGGAAGCCCGATGCCTCTGTGTCGGAGTCCAGAGCTCTGACCAGGAGAGGGTGGCCCCCGGCCCCCTTACCGACCCATGAGCCCCGGTCTCCTTCCTCCCACTCCAGTGCCCTTTCTTTGCTGTGCATTTGTGCACAGTGCAGCTCACTCGAAGTTACTAAGTGTCGTGGTCCCGTCCCCAGCGGCCTTCCACAGAGAGTGCCAGTGCGGCAGGGTGCTACTGCTCCGCCTGCCGTCACAGAGGAGGAGGCGGGGGAGGCGGGGGGCGGGGGGGGGCGGTTAAGGGACTCGCAAGACTGATGAGAGGCCAGAATGCAGCATCAGCGACGGGGCAGCGCTCACGACAACCCCAAAACAAGTGCAGCCCTCGTAACTGAGTATGGAGCAGGTCCTCCCCAAATGGAGCCGCTCTGACACTGAAGGCTTCTGAGGAGCCTGGGGTCTCGGCTGGCATGAAGGGGTCCATGGGCACAGCGTTTGCTGTGAGGTGGTTACAAGAGGTGGGGGACAGCCTAGTGTGCCCCCATAGAGCTCCTAGTTCTGTCAGCCAAGAGAGCCCGGAAGCAGTGACACCCCAGCAGCAGTGAGTACACCTAGTGCCTGGTTCTTGGTTTCTAATACCGTTCTCAATCAAAGGAACCAGGGCTCCTTGGAGAAGTGGCTGATCTTGGGACTGGGACCAAAAAAAAAAAAAAAAAAAGGAGCCGGGAGCATTTCTGGTGCCGGAAAGTTAAGGAAATGATCGAGACAATGAAGAGGGTGTGTCAGCCGTCACAGGGGCCGCGGCGGGAGCTGTAAAAGCAAGAACACAGCACTGGACTCTGGCTCACAGCGTGGGGCGTCCGTGCGTCCGTGTGTCCACGCGTCCGTGCGTCCACGCGTCCACACATCCACGTGTCCACGCCGATGCGGACGGCCGAATGAAAGAGGGAGAGACGGCCCTGTTTACAGAGAGGAAATCCCACCTAAAGATTCATACAGGGTCCCAAGGGACCCCAACAGCCAAAATAATCGTGAAAAGGAACGAAGCTGGAGGAGTCACACTTCTGATTTCAAAACTTATTGCAAAGCTACTGTAACCAAAGCAGTGTGGGACGGGCACAGAGACAGACGTATAGACCAGTGAAATAGAACAGAGGGCCCAGGAACAAACTATCACACATAAGGGTGCCGTGACCATTCAACAAGGAAGGACAGTCTTTTCAATAAATGATGCGGGGAAAGCCGGATAACCCATGCAAAACACCGAACCAGGACCTGCACCTTACACCATATACAAAAATTAACTAAAAACCCAAAGACCCAAACATGAGAGCTAAAACTATAAAACTCTTGGAAGAAAACATAAGGGAAAGCTTCATGACATTGGGTTTAGCAATGCTTTCTTGGATATGATGCCAAAAGTGCAGGCAACAAAAGTAAAACACAAATTGGCTTCAAAGTTAAAGCCTTCTGTGCATCAAAGGACTCCATCCACAGAGTGAAAAGGCAGCCTATGGAATGGAAGAAAATACTTGTAAACCAACTATCTGATAAGAGGCTAGTATCAAGAATATTTGAAGAACTGATGAACTCAACAATAACAAAACAAACAACTTGATTAAAACACAAGTGAAGGACTTGAATAGATTTGTACAAAGAAAATATACAAATGGCCAAAAAACACATGAAAAGACGCTCAACGCCATTGGTCATCAGGGAAAAGCAAATCAGAACCGCAATGAGCTACCACTTTACACCCATTAGGAGGGCTGTTGGGCTTCCCTGGTGGCGCAGTGGTTGAGAGTCCGCCTGCCGATGCAGGGGACACGGGTTCGTGCCCCGGTCCGGGAAGTTCCCACGTGCCGCGGAGCGGCTGGGCCCGTGAGCCATGGCCGCTGAGCCTGCGCGTCCGGAGCCTGTGCTCCGCAACGGGAGAGGCCACAAGTGAGAGGCCTGCGTACCGCAAAAAAAAAAAAAAAAGATGGCTATTAATAAAAGATTTTTTTAAAAAGCAGAAAACAACAGCCATCGGTGAGGATTTGGAGAAATCAGAATCTTTGTGCACGTTGGTGGGAATGTAAAATAGTGCAGCCACTGTGGGAAAGTGTGGCAACGCCTCAAAAAATTTAAACATAGAATTCCCACGTAAGCCCGCCGTTCAGCGTCTGAATATACACCCAAAAGAATTGAAAGCAGGGACTCAAATAGATATTTGTGCACCTGTGTTCATAGCAGCGTTATTCACAACAGCCAAAAGGTGGAAACACCCCAAGTGTGCATGAATGGAAGAATGGATTAGCAACGTGCCGTCCATCCACACCAAGGATATCGTTCAGCCTTAAAGCAGAAGGAAACTCGGGCGCTTGCTGCAGCAGCAACAAACCTCAAGCACATTATTCTAAGGGAAATGAGCCAGTTCGAAAGGACAAATACTACACGGTTCCACTTACAGGAGGTCCCTGGAATAGTCAACCAGGGGCTGGGGAGCTGATGCTTAACGGGGACAGAGTGTCAGTTTGGGAAGATGAAAAACGTCCGGAGATGGTGGTGGCGATGGCTGCACAGCGGTGTGAATGAACATACCTGATGCCACTGAGCTGCACGATGAGAAATGGTTCAATGGCAAATTTTATGTTATGTATATTTTGTCACGATTAAGAAATTTCAAAATAAAAACATTTTTAATGAGTCGGGAACAAAAAAGTAGGGAGGGGTGAGCACTGGGGACTTGAGGGTGAAATGAACTTGCAGACGTCACTGGAGCTGAATCTAAATAAGGAAGGGACGCTGGGGGTCCCCGATCCCTGGTGGGCTTCCTGTGCTCCCCCCCCAACTCCGAGCCCAGGTGTCCACAGCGTCCCACCAGAAGCACTGTGTTGTCACCCTGACCTCAGCTGGACCACAAGACGGGACCCCTGCTGACCAGGGCTGGCGAGTGGCAGGGCTGGGAGCCCACATACCCCCGGAGCAGCCACCAGCCCCAGGGAGGACGGGGCCCCTTCAGAGGCAGCTCCACGCGGACTTGCCCACAGCCTCCTCTCGACAGTGCTGGGCGGGGTGGGGGGCTGGTCCCTGTGTGTCCTCTGACGGCACGGGTCATGTCCTGTGACATCAAAAGTTACATCCTCTGGCATCACAGGTCACAACCTCTGATGTCACAGGTCACGCTCGCTGGCAGCATCACATCCTTGCGGACCCCTGTGGACAGGCAGCCCCATCATCAGCCTGTGTCGTGTTCAGGGCCGTGGACGGTGGTGCCAGTGGGTCCACTGTGCAGGTGCCTGGTTAGGGCCGAGGGGCCTGTCCTCGATCCCATGCTCTCCTGGGGTGGCTGCTCCCTGGAGGGAGACATGCCCACAGGTGAGCCCTGGGTGCCCCCCCCCGCATCGCACGTCGATCGTCCTTGAAGGTGGACGCTGAGACCAGCTCAGGTCCCAGATCTGCTGGGCCAGCATCTGTTCTTATTTGCTCGTGATCCCGTGGTTGGGACAAGGCTCCCACACTGGGTCCCACCGTCACTCTGCGGGCGGCTCACGTGGGGGACAATCCGGAGGGGGTGAGGTGGGCTGGGAAACGCCGGAGGGTGTCCAGTGACCACGTTTCTCCCTTTCTCCTGCTCACCTGGGAAGGCGTGTCTCCTGGAACCTGAGTGCATGCAGGTGAGTGCCCTGTGCCCTCCCCTGCCTCGCGGGTGGGTTGGGTGACCCCGGCCACAGTTCCACACTCTGAGACCCGCTGTGTCTCTTTCAAACAGGGGCCTCAAGAAAACACAAAAGGCATAAAACACCTAGTGGACATGTTTCACATTTGCTGCCCAAAAAGAGAGTGTGCGTACAACAGGCCAGGCGCTGGGGTGGGTGGGGCAGCTGGAGGGCAAGCGGGCGGCTCCTCCCATCGCTGACCACACAGCAGCGTCTGTCCACCCGGCACCACTGTGCGTGTGGGCGCAGCCATGGCCCTGGCCGTGATTTTGTGTGTCCGGCGCTGTGGGCATCCCCCAGGCCAAGGGAGCCAGTCAGAGCACCCGGCTCGCCTTGTAGCTCACACGGGCTTTGCCCCCAGCGTTCAGGCGGATGGCACTGATGTCTGTTCTTTCCTCTTTCGGTCTCTGACGTCTCGTCTTCCAACTTCCTTCCTGTTTTATTTGTTTACTTCTTCATATTTGTCCGCCTCAGGGCCACGTTAAGTCCAGTAGCCGCTGGGCCCAAACTGTGCCTCAGATCATCCTCATCTGTTTGTCCAGTGAACTGATGCTCTTCTAATTCTATGAGAACAACCCTTGGTCGGGTTAGGCCGGGAGGAAATACCTAAACCAAACCGATTCTGAGTATTTCATTTAGACCCACCAGTCTGCCTCGGCCTGGGGGCCACGCCTGCCTGTGGGCCTGCCGGGCTGTGGCCATGACGGTGACACCAGCTAACACCAACGCCCTGTGAATCTTGGTTCGTGTAGATTTATCCTTAAAATCAGTCAAAACGGTCCTTTTCTGAGAGTCTGCAGTTGAGTGATGAGAGAAGTGGCCCTGACCGACTTCACACTTTATACACCAAGGTGACGGAGGCGCTGACGGCGGCCCCCGCCATGCCCGCAAGCCCCTGCTGGGGACTTTTCTCAAGTCAGCATCTGGGCAGCGGCCCGGGTGTGAAGGGCTGGACCTGAGCTGTGCCCTGGAACACAGGCCGGGGTCCCCGCCACCGTCCTCGGGAAGCCAGGGCCACCACGTAGCAGGCATGGGGGAGGGGGAGCCGTGCAGACCCTTGGGCCTCGCCGAGACAAGGCCCGGCAGCAGAGGGTGATGGCACGGGGCCACCTCGCCTACTGCCGAGCCCCGAGGCACGGCCCCTGCCCCCCAGCTGCCCTGGCCTGGAGGCCCCCCCCGCCCCGTGGGGCTGCCTACGACCGTCGTTAAAACACTAGCACGTGGACAAGGACGACCACGTGAACCACCGGTTTTCAGTGAAACCACCAGACAGAAGGGATTCGGGTGTTTAAGTAAAAGTGCCACAGAACTGTCCAGAAATAGACGCTCTCGACAAAGCTAAGTCCATCGCTGTGGGACGATGGCATGGGGGAACCTTGTCTGGACTGCGTGTGATCAGACTCCCCAGAACGAATGCCCAGATGCTCGGCTGTCAGGGTAGAGCTTCTCCAAGCACGGCCAACTCAGGACCTGGGGGGTCACCTTGACCCTCGTGCTAACAGCAAGTGGTCTCCCCAGGGGTCTGAGCGAGCCCCTGGCCTCTGCCCCCAGCCCAGCCCCTGTCTGTGGCCTGTCCGCCTCAAGGTCCCCAGCAGAAGACCCACCAGAACCCAGGGGCCAGCTCACAGGCACCCCCAAGGCTTCCCAGAGCCCACTCCTGCCCCAGAATCACGGGCTCCTCTCCCACCCCTGAAGGGGGCAGTCCGGCCCCCAGGGCTTCCCTCCCCCCACGTGAGAGGAGAACACGCAGACCCTGCAGCAAGGGGCTGGGACCCGCCGTGCTGGGCACACGAAGCAGAACTGGGGCGCCCTTGGCTCCCCTGCAGCCTGCAAGTCTTGGTCTCGCTTCCCTTGTGGAGACCTGGACTGGCTGAAGCCCCCACTGTCTTTGGGTTTCTGGACGGAAGCACCGCGGGGGCTCAAGGGGGCCTACACGGTGGGCTCGGGGGGGACGGTCTTGATGGGTCAAGTGGGGTCTGCGACGCTGGGCGTGTCCCAACCTCATGTTCAAAGCAGGGCGGCCGAGCGCATGGGGGGCTCGGGAGGCACCCTGGCCCACAGGGGTAGGCTCGGGCTGCACCGCAATGGGGGTCCTGAGGGGCAGAGGCCGAGCGTGGGGTGGGGACCTCAGGGGGTGTGCCTGGGACCACAGAGAGGCCTCAGGACCACTCGTGCCCGTGAGGACAGCCACCGCCTGCTGTGTGGACTTGCCCTGAAGAACCCACCGGAGGCCAGTCCCCAGGGCCAGAGAAAGCACAGGAGGCATGGACCTAGGCCCCCCAGCCCCCAACAGTGGGCGTGCTGCCTGCATATCTCACTGGAAGGCAGGCCCTCCGTGGCCCGGACCCACCGGCAGTGGACGCGCCCCACCCCGCTCTGCCCACCTTTCTTCCTGGGTGGCTGGTGGGGGCAGGTCACCTGGAGGTGTTAGGAGAGGCTGACACCGCTGCCTCACACATTTGGCCTCGTTTTTTAAGCGAGTCCATCGCATCTGGTTCTTCCCAATTAGTTTACTGAGACATTTGCTAACCTGTCTGGATGTCCGGTTCCATTGACCAGACGCAGATATCCCTTCTCTCGCCCGACGGCCAGCGTCGGGGTCCTGCGTGCAAACCTGCTTCCCCTGAACTACCGAGGGGTGGGCGCCTGGGGCTCATGGCTCTTTCCTCTCCAGGAGCTGGAGCAGCAGCTCATGATAGAGAAGAGAAACTTCCGGAAAACCCTCAAGTTCTACCAGAAGCTCTTACAGAAGGAGAAGCGGAACAAAGGTAGCCTCGCTGGACGTGGGCCGGGGACGGGGTTGGGGGCCGCTTTGGGCTGACTCTGCCCGCCCGCAGGCTCCGAGGTGAAGACCATGTTGTCCAAACTGAAGGGGCAGCTGGAAGAGATGAGGTCCAAGGTGCAGTTCCTCGGGCTGGTCAAGAAGTACCTACAGGCAAGGTCCCCACTCCCCTCCCTCCAGAGGCCTGACGCTCACAGGGCTCCTCCCGCTAAAACCTTGGAAATCGGTCCCTGTGAAAACATACACCCCCCCTGCCGAGAGGCCACCCCGCCCCCTGGGTCAGGGGCGGGGTGACCTGGCAGCAGGTCAACCCGACAATGCTGACTCGCGCCCCAGGTCATGTACGCGGAGCGGTGGGGCCTGGAGCCCTGCGCCCTGCCCGTGATCGTGAACATTGCGGCCGCCCCCTGCGACACACTGGACTTCAGCCCCCTGGACGAGTCTTCTTCCCTCATCTTCTACAACGCCAGCAAGCGCCCGCGTGGCGGCCGGCAGAGGAAGGCCCGCGTCCTGCAGGCTGGCACGCCGCTGGGGCTCATGGCCTACCTCTATTCCAGGTGCAGCGGGGAGGGAGGGCGTCTCTGTGCCCCCCAGGCCTTCGGAGACAAAAGCAGGGAGGAAACAAATAGGCCCCGCGGTGCGGGGCAGGGGGTGAAGGAGGTGAGAACTCTCGCCTGCCCTCATCTGAGACGGGTTTGCACTTTTATCTAGAAAGTTCCCTCTAAGTCGCCTGTGTCGGCTCCCACTGGCCTCCAGGTCCTTGGCCGAGTGGCTTCAGGGCCACGGGCCCTACTGGACCCGCACCTGTGGGCCTGGGCGTCTGGGTCAGGTGTGCGGCCACCGTGACTAACAGCCCGGTGGGCTTCTGAACCTGAACGCAGCCGGGAGCCTCAGGGGCACCTGGACCCCATCCGCTTTCCTAAGTCAGACACCCATAGTTAACGTTGGGCTCCCCGGGGCTGTGGTGAGGTTGGCCCCAGCCAGCTCTCTGCAGCGTTTCTGGGCATCAGCAGGGCTTAGGCTCGCGGGATCCCCTAATAATGCAGGTGCGCGGGCTCACCTACCGCGGGAAGGGCCAGGCCCCTCCGTCCAGGGTCACAGGGGCCCCCGGGCCACACCCAACCCTGCCATCCCTCCGTCTGTCCCGCCAGCTCCACCTGGTTGTTGGGCACAGGGCGGCCTCCTCCAGGGCCCGGCCCCCATCAGGGCTGGGTACAGACCTCACCCCAGTGTTGACTTTTAGGGACTCATGACCCCACGTCGGAGCCCCTGGGGTCTTTGGGCTGCAGGCTGTGGTGACCCCAGACTGCTGGCTCTTGGCAGCCAGCGGGGACCCTCCCGGGGCAGCTGACTCTCCCTGCTCCCCGGCCCGTTCCCCCGAGGTGGGCTGACTGGGGCTCCTGCTCGCGGGGCTCCGGGCTACCCCTCAGACTCCGGCCTCCTCTGCAATGTGGGCTGTCACACGCCGCCACAGGCACTGTGCTTTCCAGGAGATGAGAGCGCACGCGTGCGTGCGCACCGGTATCACAGGGCGTGCCGCGCGTCCTGTGCGAGCATGGCATCTCCGAGGGGGCGTGGGCTCATCCCTGCAGACCCCGCGGGTGTCCCCTCTGCGGGATGCTGAACCCGGGCTGCCTAGTCTCCAGCCTGAGCCAGGCTGCAATGTCCCAGGCAGAGGCTCCCTCGTTCCTGGATCCCCACCTCTTTCTCGCTGCCCTGGCTCCCTGGTGCACCCAGAGATGGGGGGCCCTCCCGCCCTCAGCGGCCTGTCTCCTAACCCAGCGATTTCTGGCTGGGGCTGGGCCACTGCTCCGGCTCAGCTTTCTGAATCGTTTCTAAAAGACACAGTGAGGCCTTAAAGACGGATGTTACCGAAGTCCTCGGACTCGCAACATCCAGGGATTTCTAACGTGACCACTGCTCCCCCCACTTACTTCTGAGCGGCGCTCCTGCTGGCCTCCTTCCTGGCAAGGGGCTCACGCGCACACGCGCCCGTGTGCGCCCACCCCGGGACCGCGGGGCTGGGGGAGCCGGGCCGCGTCCTGGCGGCTGACTGCCCCCTCCCCGCAGCGACGCCTTCCTGGAGGGCTACGTGCAGCAGTTCCTGTACACCTTCCGGTACTTCTGCAGCCCCCACGACTTCCTGCACTTCCTGCTGGACCGCATCAGCAGCACCTTGTCCAGGTACCCGCCGACCCTGACGAGGACGAGGCCAGAGCCAGAGCCGCCCGGAAGGCCCAGGCGAGGGCAGAGGAGGGGAGCGGGGCGCAGACGGGCCACGGGAAAGGGGCAGGAGTGTCAGGAGGGGCCGGCGGCTGGGGAGGGGGGAGGCGGAGGGCGGGGGCTGGGACACGTGGGAAGACGGTGAGCACCAGGCCCGTGGGCTGGGGGAGGGCAGCTGGGGGGCAGGGAGGGTCCCGCAGGCCTCAGCCGGCAGGTGGGGTCAACAAGGGAAGGGGTGGTAGGCAGTGCTGGACGCGCTCTGGCCCTCTGAGCTGGCCTGTCCTTGCCCCCCACACTCCGCACAAGCCCAGGCCAGGAGCCCTGGGAGGGGAGGGACTCACGGGAGACCCCAGCCCCCTGCTTCCCCACACGCGGAGCAGGGCTCCCGCCCTGCCTCTCGGGACGCTTTCCAGCCCCTGGGTGCCGTCTGTGAGGGTGGCAGGGGCTCCAGGACGGGCACCAGGTGGGCGGGCTCAGACCCCCATGCACACACTGGTGTGGGTGCGACGCCAGGCGGGCGCGGGTGACCTGCGCGGCTCAGGCCTCCATCTGTCCCCAGGGCCCACCAGGATCCCACCTCCACCTCCTCCAAGATCTACAGGCGCAGCTTCTGCCTCCTGCAGGCCTGGCTGGAGGACTGCTACGCCGTGGACTTCAGGAGGGACGCCGGGCTCCTGGGGAGGCTCCAGGACTACCTCGCCTCCCAGGTGAGGGCGCGGCTCGGGGAGCGGGGCCACCGCCCCTCTGGAGCAGCGGGCGACCCCGCGTGCTTCTGCCCAGATCCTGCCCTTGGACGGCTCCGCAGAGCCCCTGTTGAGCCTCCTGGAGGTGGGCACCGAGCGGCGGGCTGAGGGTGCCCCACGCAGCACAGACCTGCAGGACCCCAAGGAGGCGGAGGACACCGCCAGGCCCCTCAACGCCCTGTGGAAGAGGCTCTCAGAGGACGGCATCTCCCGGAAGGTGCGGCCTTTCCCGGGGAGCCGGCGTGGGGACACCGCCTACGCAGGCACACACACTCCTGTGCTCATGTGCACACACACGTGCCCTGGTACACACACACACGGACAGGCACACATGCACAAACAGGCACGCGCCCCCCGTGTTGCCGGCCCTGGGCACCAGCCCTCTGGCCCTGGACAAGGACAGCAGAGGGCCAGCCAGGGGCTCAGAGCACCCCGCCTCCCTGACTCTGGGGCCAAGGCGGGGCCGGGAAACGGCCTGGTACGGGAGCAGGGTTGAGGGAACCTCACCGTGATGCGTGCAGACAGCCCCATCCATGAAATGACCAGGACAGGCGTCCTCGACCCGGCACGGCTGTGGGCGGGAGGGATTTGCCACGTGGCTCTAGCTGAGCCAGGCTGCGAGGTCCTGGGCCTGGGCCCACCCCCCCACCCCGCCCTAACCTGGACGGGACCCTCTGGGGCTTGGTCTTCCTGCCCTGCAGAGCTTCCCCTGGCGGCTGTCCCGGGGCAACGGGCTGGCGCTGCCCCACCACAAGGAGCGCCAGTACAGCATCGCATCCGCCCTGCCCAAGCCCTGCTTCTTCGAGGACTTCTATGGCCCCTATGCCAGGGCCAGCGAGAAGGGGCCCTACTTCCTGACCGAGTACAGCACCCACCAGCTCTTCAGCCAGCTGACGCTGTTGCAGCAGGTGAGGGGGGGGCTGACATTGTTGCAGCAGGTGAGGGGGGGGCTGACGCTGAGGCAGCGGGTAAGGGTGGGCGCTGAAGGCCCTCAGCAAGAGAGCGCCAGGTGCACAGGCCCCACGAGGTCCCACAGGGCACACACACACACCCCACGTGCTGGAGGGCGCCCTGCCCTGCGGGCCGGGCGGGGAGCCGCGTGTGCTAGGCCCTCCCTCCTGGAACTGGGTGCCCAGCCCCCAGCTGCCCCTTCCCAGGCCCCCAGGCATCCTGGGCCCCCATCACTTGGCAGGTGACAGCAGGGACAGGAACCCAGCGACCCCTCCTCCCCCCCCCCCCCCCCCCCTCTCCCGGGGGGCCGCCGGGCCCCCCCCCGGGGGCCAGGCGACAGCAGGGCCAGCACCCCGCCCCCCCCCCCCCCCCCCCCCCCGCCACTGTTGTCTGGGTGGCCGTGCAGAGTCCCTGGGGGCCCAGCCCTGTGACTCCCGTGCCCCCCGTCCCCCCTCGGGCCCCGGCTCTGCCTGACCTCTGCGTCCTTGTCCCCGGCAGGAGTTGTTTCACAAGTGCCACCCCGTCCACTTCTTAAACTCTCGGGCCCTGGGCGTCACGGACAAAAGTGTGGCCGTCCCCAAGTGAGTGTCCGGCGTGGCTGTCAGAGAAGCCTGGGATGCAGGGCTGGCCGGAGGGCCTTGGGGCCTCACCCAAGCGTCTCCTGGACACGCCCAGCGCAAGGGCGACACCTGCGGTGCGCGGCTGGCCCCCCGCCTCGCAGGGCCCGTCCCGCCAGCCTCCTGGGCCGGGCGCCACCCGGGGCCTGGCTGGGACGTGCGCCTGCGTCTCTTGCAGAGTCAGCTCCTCTGGGTCTCTGTCGGCCGAAACCTGCAGCTTATTTCTGCCCAGCTACGTCCAGGACACGTACCTGTTACAGCTTCTGAGAAGCGCAGACGACGTCAGCACCTGGGTGGCCGCCGAGATCGTGACCAGCCACACCTCCAAGGTCGGTGCCCTCAGCTCTGGCCCCAGCACAGAGTCGGGGCTGCTGGCAGCAAGGGCACCTCCCTGGGAGACCCCCCCCCTGCTGGGGGTGCACGGGGGCTCCAGGCCCACCCAGGCCTGTCCCCGCGGCGCGGACACGCAGACCTCACGCAGGCACACCCCCGCTCACAGCTGGACGCAGCGTCACACACACACTAACGCGGCCCCCGCGTGCTCCCACACTCCTCCTGCCTCGGTCGCGACCCAGGGCCGGGAACTGGCCCGCTGGCCTGAGCTCTCGTGGCCACTGTCACAACAGCACGGGTGCATGTGTGTCCTCGGCCAGTTTGTGGAACAAATGAAACACTAGTCAGTGGTCCCATCAAGGTGAGGCTCCTCTGGTCCCACAGGCCTCGGCCTGGACCGACCCCCCTGCTTCAGGGCCAGCACCTCCCTCAGGTCCCACCCAGGCAGGAGGGGCAGCAGCTGGGCCTAGCGCCCCACAGTGCGCCCAGCGAGCACACCGCTGTCAGGGCCTCGGACGTCCTTCCGCCGGAGGCCAGACGCAGGCGAGGGTCACAGGGTCCTGCCTGTAGGACGTGGCCACGTGGAAGAACCGGTGGGGACCACGGGGCTCCTGCTGTGTCACCCGGCCCCTTCCCGCGAGTGCACGCCCACCGCCTCCCAGGCCCAAAGCATCAGCTCCCCGGGCAGGAGCCGCTGGAGTGGGCTGAGCACGAAGGGGGAGCTCGGGGTGGGGGACCCTGTTCTGTCCCAGGAGCTGCCCCAGAGCCCACCGTGGCCACCAACTCCCCGAGAGACGGTGAAGCCCGGACGTGCCCGTTCTGGCATTAGGAGCCTCTGCACTCTTTCCTTTTCTAGTTTCCTCTGTGTCCCCCAAGCCCCTAGGGGCAACCCCAAGGCCCATGAACAAATGCCGAGTTTTCCACTCTTTCCCCTTTTCGGGAGAATTTTCTTTAAGGGTTTAGCAGCTGACAGACTGACCCGTCCTCACTTCTGCCAGGATGTGGCCTGGCCCCCTCCCCGACCCGGTTTGTTCCAATCCACGACGTTATCATGAGAGACATCAAAGTGCAGCTTCCGATCAAGGGCGTCACACGAGGCCTGGGTGCTCGGGCTTCCCAGGGGACCCCGGCTGCCAGGGAGTCCTCACCCCAGAGCCTCTGCAGCTGCCCCGCCCACAGGGCACCACGAAGGGGCGCCAGCGTCCCCAGGCCACAGGACGGAACGGTCTTCAGACCCACCTGGGACGCACCCAGGGTCAGCGCCTGGTGGGAAGGAACCACTGTTGCAGTGACGAAACTCTCCCCATTGCGTGAACGGCTCCCCCGTCCCTGCGAGCAGAGGTCGGAGGGAGGACTGTTCACGGGGCAGTTCCGCCTCAGCAGGGACAGGAGAGCGCAGGGGCCGAGCGGAGAAAGCGCCAGGAGTTCTCAGGAAGCCACGCGGGCACCTTCGGCGAACACGCTGATCAAGTTCTGACGCGCTGTTCCACGCATTGGGCCCCTCACCATGCTGTCGGCACAACCCGGAGGCTGACTTCTACATTCGTAAACTCTGCTCTCAGAAAAATTTGTCAAAACTCAAATTTTGAGCCGGAGAATGTAACGGAAGACTAGTAAAAGCCCTCAGTGGTAACAGTGCATTCCTTCCAGATCACATCCCGGGGTGGCGGGGTGAGGCGAGACAGTGCAAACACAAGGTCAAGGAGAAAAGGAAACCGTGTAAAGTTTCTCACCTTCAAGAAAAGCTTCCCTTTTTGTAGATGAATAATGGTGGGACCTGGCTTCATCAGACAGGTGTGAAAGTGACGGAACACGACAGCCAAGAGCAGGAGGCAACCTCATATCCGTCGACGCACGAACGGATGAACAACGTGGGGCATCACCACCCTGTGAAAACATTCAGCCCCACGAGGGAACCAGATGGGGACACAGGCCACGACGGCTGAGCCCGGAGGGCGGGACGCCGGTCACAAGAGCAGACCCACCGTGTGACCTGACCTGACCGGTACAAGGCTCAGCCGTGAGCGGACAGCTCTGCCTGGACGGGCTGGAAATCACCTACTTCGCATCCATCTGAACCTGTGAGGAAAATGACGAGGTGTCAACGTAAGAAGCAGGAGTGGGTAGATGTTTTTCAAGATCCTTTAAGAGGCACTCGAGCCAGACAGCTGGGAGGCAACGGTGCTGAGTGACCCCACGGCCCGTCCTGTGACCCAGACAAGGGTCAAGCCCAGGAGAAGGGTGTCTGGTTGGGACCCGCAGGCGATGTTCCCACCTGAAGGATGTCCCTGGCCATGGCGACAGTCCACAGGGTGAGGCAGCTCTGAAATGAGGGGTCAGCTGAATTCTCCAGAACCTTCTGGAAGTTGCTGGAACTGTGTAAAATCCACACGCTAACTGTGGGGCCGTGAGCCAGGCCCCTCAGGTCTGCTCGGAGAGGAGAATCCCACTGGGGTAGCAGGGGCTGCCGTGGGGTGTTCCCATCAAATCCGGTGAATCTGCCCTGCCGACCAGCAGCCCCTGAGGCGCTGCAACCCCGTCCCACCGTGGACTCGGCTGGGCGGACGACAAGCTGAAATCGGCTCCCCATTTGCCTCTGGACACCTCAGCTCCATCTCCCCGAGCGGGGGTGCCCTTCCCGCTCCCCCCATTGTCCTGAGCAGAGATTTGTCCCGGGAGAGAAGTGAGATGGACTTGGCACACCTTTGTGCCTTGGTTTTCTGGCCCCCGACGCCCTCCCCTGCACGGAGGTGGGCGCACCGCCCTGCACCCTGACGCTGGCCCCTGTGCCCCGGTCCCTCGTCTGAGACGGAGGACGCTGAGCGTCTTGTTCTCTGGTTTCAGCTGCAGGTGAACCTGCTCTCCAAATTTCTGCTGATCGCGAAGTCTTGCTACGAGCAGAGGAACTTCGCAACAGCCATGCAGATCCTGGGCGGCCTGGAGCACCCGGCCGTGCGACAGTCCCCTGTGAGTCACCCGGGGGGGCCTGGCTGCAGCCACGCAGTGGGCACAGACAGGGCTGTAGGAGTTTCACCTGTGCTTTTATTTTAGGCCTGGAGAATTCTACCCGCAAAGATAGCAGAGGTCATGGAGGAACTGAAAGCCGTGGAGGTACCCCTTTGCGTGAGGTCCTGGGCAGCTCACGTCCCGGGGGAGGGGGGGATCGCCCAGCAGATCCTGCATCGTGGCGCCCTCCTCACGGCCCCCCCATCATCTCCCCTGGGGCCTCAGCCGCTCACCTGGGCAGAGGTGGCAGGGTTGCTCCAGGGCCGTGATTCCAGCCTGGGGTGCAGGTGCCCTGAGGCCCTGCCTGAGTTTGGCCGACCTACCTGCCTCCTGGCCGCCCCTCATGAGATCCTAAACGAGGACACGCCCTCGGGATGAGGGGCGTTTCCCAGACTGAGGAGGCAGGGGCGGCCTGCAGCCGGCCCCAGACGCAGCGCGCGCCGGTGGGGGGACTGTTGTGTGTCCTCGGTTGCCACCACACCCAGGGGTCTCTGCGGCCGGCCAGCCAGGCTCCCAGTCTAACTTGGGCAGTGGGGTCGCCTGGCTCTCTTCTGGAGGGAGTTTGCCGCCAGCAGCAGGAAGCGCGCGGCTTTCTGGGGGGGGTCAGCGTTCCTCCCGTGTCCGCAAGCGCTCTCCCCAGCCCCAGAGCCAAGGCACACTTTGGGCTGGCTGATAAACCGGGGTGCCGCAGCCCCCGTGCAGCACTGCTGGGCACCTGGGCTGACCTCTCACCTGTCCGTCCCCCCACCCCCCGCCCACGCCCCTGGCTGCGCCCCAGGTCTTCCTGAAGAGCGACAGCCTGTGTCTGATGGAAGGACGGCGCTTCAGGGCCCAGCCCACCCTGCCCTCAGCCCACCTCCTGGCCATGCACATCCAGCAGCTGGAGACAGGGGGCTTCACCATGACCAACGGGGCCCACAGGTGGAGCAAGCTCAGGTGAGGGGCCCACAGGTAAAACAAACCAGGTGAGGGATCCACAGGTGAATAAGCCAGGTGAAGGGCCCACAGTTGCAACAAGCCAGGTGGGGGACCCAACAGCTAGAACAAGCCAGGTAAGGGGCCCACAGGTGAGCGAGCCAGGTGAGGGGCTGCCCCCATCTCTCCTGTTCCTCTGAGACCTGGGCCGCCTTGCCCCTCACGCAGCCCTCACCCAGCCCAGGCCTCCACACCCTCTCCCCAGGTGACTTCCAGCCGCCTCCTTCTCCACAGACAAGGGGTACACAATTCGCACAGTCCAGCGTCCACGGCCCCAAACGCGGCCCCAAGGTTGCCGTGACCTCCCTTCCTCCTGGGAGATCCAGGTGCACCCAGAACGCCACCTCTGTGCGACCACCCTCCCTGACCCCCCGAGCCACATCTGCCTTCTCTCCCTGCCTCTGCTGTCCCCCTCGGGGCCCCTCCGTAAAGCTGTCCGGAGGATTCAGTCAGTCCCCACCGTTCAACTGCCCGGCACACCTGCGGACCCACCTGGGAGGAGCAGACTGGGGAGCTGTCGGTGGCGACCACCACCACGACCCTGCCAGGGACTCAGACACTCCCAGCCAAAGGCGATCGCGGCTCCTTTTGGCCTCGGAAGCCCACCCTGGGGCCGGCCGCTCCTTAGGAGCTCCAGGCCCACGGCCCCCCGCAGCGCCCCAGGCCCGCACTGCCCTTCAGGACAGTGCCGCCCTGTCTCCAGGGAGACCCTCCCCCCATGACCTTTCACCCCACTCTATCCTCTCCCCCCACTTCATCAGCCACACGGCAGTCAGGTGGAGACCGGTCAGGCCTCCTCAGGGTCCAGGGCGGACTGGTCCCTCTGAGTCTGGACTTTGACGCGGCCTGGTTGGGACAGTGCCTGACAGCAGGCTGGGAACCCACCAGCTGCAGACGCTGCCCCCGTGACTTGTGCAAACTCACGTTTCGTTTCTTCCCCCAACAAAGAAACATCGCCAAGGTGGCGAGCCAGGTCCACGCGTTCCAGGAGAACCCCTACACGTTCGCCCCCGACCCCAAGCTGCAGTCCCACCTCAAGCAGAGGATCGCCCGATTCAGCGGGGCGGACATCTCCATCCTGGCCGAGGACAGCAGGGCTGGCGCCCACCAGGTGGCCAGCGAGAAGCACTCCAAGAAGATTCAGGACAAGCTGCGGAGAATGAAAGCCACGTTCCAGTAGCGCAGGACAGCGGGCTGGGTGTGCAGCCCACACCGAGGACAGGCCTGGGGTGGAAGGGGCCGTGCCTGCTGTGTCAGACAGGGACCCCCATGGCCCAGGAGGGGCACCGGGGCGGGAGCACGGGCTCAGACCCAGACCCAAGAGATGGTGCCAGGAGAGGCTGAGGGGGGTTTCTAAGGGAATTTTAAAATATTTAAACCAAAATAGGATAGGTAAGCTCCCCAGGAACCGAGTACCCATTTATATTTCTCAAAGATAAACAGCTTTCACCCAGTTCTCTGGCCGTTCAGCCCCAGAAACCCCACACCCCAGCACCCAGCTCAGGCTTTAAACCCAGGCGCCCACTGAGCGGTGTTCCCACGGGTCTGGTGTGCGTCTGCTCACCAACGAAGGGCCAAGACTGTCCTCTGACCCCCTGACGGCCACAGATTCCAGGGGCTCTGGAACCTTCTCGGGGCCCTGAGGCTCCCCACCCTGGGCTTCCTCCCTGCCGGGCCTCCCCCTCCTCCAGCCCCAACCCCTGGCTGCCCACCCAGGCCCAGGTGCGGGTGCCAGAGCCTCGCAGCCCTTCCCGCCAAGAGGCCCGGCCTTGCCTCCGTCCCAGCCCGGCCTCCTGCTGCCGGAGAGCGCCTCATGCTCCACACTGGCCGCTCCCAAGTGCCCCGTGGCCCCTGTGCCCACCGCCCCACCACCGAGAGCACTTCCTGCTGGGGCAGGTACACCTGGGCCGAGGCTCTGCTTCCAAAGCATGCAGGACTCAGACAGCCGCTCCAAAGCAGAGACACAGCCTCAGGGGCCCTGAGAGCTTCCCTCTGCCCTACCTGGGGGCCTGGGGGCTGTAGGGCCGTGGCCGGGTCCCCCCCTTCTTCAGCAGCCATGCATGTGATGCACACACCCACGCCTAGCTCCCAAGGCTGGCCGTCACCAGCGCTTTCTGACGAGGAAACGAAGTCTGCTGCCTCGGTGGTACCAAGCTCTTCCCCAGGGCCGTTTCCAAACTGCGCTCGGCCAGGGGCATGGGACCAGGACAGCACGTCACACCTCCACAGCAGGGAGGCCAGAGCCCTGGCACCACCCCAGGCACCAGCGTTTTTACGTCGCCAATCGCTGCAAGACCCAAGACTGTTCTTTTCAGTTTTAGAATTAGTGACTCTTCAGCGCAGCCAGCTCATGCTATTTCTAGGAAAACCACTACCTGTGATCAAACACTGTTGTCAAGACGTGTTTTCCCACATATATTCATTTGCAACATCTACGTCCCGCTTTCGTGAGAGGCACTCCGGGCCCTGCAAACGTGGCTTTTATATGAGAATTTGGTTCTGCAGATCAGCTCCTACCTTTTCAGGATTTGAATTCAACGAAGCGCCACAAAGCCTGAAATGAAGTGAGCGTCCAGTGCAAATGAACATTCCAACTGTAACGGTTCATCTGGGGGCGCGGCCAGGCTTCGGCTCCAGCACGACTGTCTGCATGTCGCCCTCACGCGCGGTTTACGTTTCTAAATAAAGTCGTTTCTACCAAGACCGCCTTCGCGGGTTCCTGGTGTTTACCTGCTTCGTGGGTCAGCGTGGCTTCTTCGAGCCAGACGAAGACGTCTTCAGGGCTGCTCGTGAAGGCGGGAGGGGACGAGGGACCGAGGAGGCTCAGGCCACCGCGATGTCCTCCGACGGTGCGCAGAGGGCCAAACCCCACCACCCGGGGCCCGTGAGCAGGCAGACACCCCACTGCCCGGGACGTACCTGCCGCTGGAGGAGGAGACAGCCAACCTCCCACAGTCGCTGACCTGCCGAGGCCTCCGGGCACCACGGCCCGCGCCTGTCTGCCACAAGCCCTGCCCATCCTGGCGTCCGGCCACGCAGGCCTCGTCCGCAGCCCACAGGCCAAGCAGCAGGCTCATCGTCACCGGGGGCAGGCTGGGGCGTTCCCAGGGCTTGGTCACCACCAAAGGGTCCCAGTGGAAGAGCTGAGGGCTGGTGGACACCAACAAAGACGGGGAGATGGTGGGGTCGTGTTACTGTGGACAGGAGCTGCCGTGGTCACGTGGCTCTGGAGTCTGGGCCGGGGCGGGGTGTCCTCAGCCACCTTAGAACCACCAGACCCTGGTCCCTCTTCCTCCCGAGACACGACTAAAGCACCAGGAAGCCCGGCTCTCCCTTCGCTACATCGGCTCTTATCACATCAACACGTTTTTCTGAGAACTGCCAGCCAGCACCCCAGCCAGCAACCCCCAACCCCATGCAGCCCCTCCTACGCTGAATGGAGCCCAGCCCTGTGCACCCAGGCTCTGGGGAAGCCCCCTCCACAAAAGGGGTCCCACTCCCCCGCGCCCAGCAGGCTGTGATCAAGCCCGAGGCAGCCCCCGGGCCGGCACCAGCACCCGCCACCCGGAGAAGGCCAGTGGGACCCCAGCAGCCAGGCTATCGCCTGGGACACGGGCTCGGAGTGGCCGGTGGTGCTGGGGTAAGTGGCCGAGGGGCTGGCTGGGCGCCGGCCACACCCCTCCCTGCGGCTTGTGTCCTTCCGCCTGCTGTCCGACACCCGCTGCAAGGACGGCGGGACTTCTCCTGGGACGGGACGGCTTGAGCTGCCACTTTCCTGCAGCCCCATCTCCTCACTGCCTCTCCCGCTCCCCAGGGGGTGGACCTCAGTGACCGTGGGAAACGCTGTTCTGAAGGGAGACTGCGCTGAAGACAAAAGAACTGCAGTGAGGACCGCACCCCGGTTGGGAGCAGCTTCTCAGGCACCAGGCCAGCCTTCCGAGGCTCCTCTGCGCACTCGCTGTGGGGTGGGACGCGAGTAGACAGTTGGAGACGAGGGCACCAGGCCTCCTACCATCCAAGACAGGATCTCACGGAGCCCAAGGTGCGAGGCGGTCAGGGACCCGAGAGACAGGTTGCGCGCAATCCACTTCCCAGCTGCCACCGCACGATCTGTCGCAGCTTCGCTGACGTGTCAGGGGATGGCTCTCTGCGGTGGGGCTCTCCTGAGCCTGCAGGATGTTTCGTGGCATCTCTGATCTCTACCCTCTAGATGCCAGCAGCACCGCCCCCTGCCCCCAGCTGTGACAACCAACAACTGTCCAGACATCGCCAAATGTCCCCTGGGGAGCAAAACTGCCCCCAGAGCCACGGGCCCAGAAGCAGTGATGCCCCAATAGCAGCAGCTGCATCCTGTGCCCAAATCTTGGTTTCCAGATGCCATTCAAGTCTCCGAGAAAAGGAAATGGCTGACTCCAGGGCTTGAGTGGGGAAAGTGCCAGATGAGCCAGGAGCTGGCAGTGCTAAAGCAGGGCTTGGGGTGGGAGGGCAGATCACATCAAAAGGACACGGACGAAAGGGAAAGAGCTGCGAAGACTCCCCACAGCCAGAGCCGGGCTGTCTGAGCCCCCACGTACGACAGTGATGGGCAGTGACCCAGGAACAGGACAAACGTCCATGAGTCCACACTGGAGTAAACGGACAACTGAATGAATAAATAAACGGGAGGAACTGGGAGAAATCCAAAGGTGTGGAGGTGTGGTTTGTTACCCCCTCGAGTGTGGGCGGCAGGGGACCTGGTGACCGGCCCCCACTGCAGGGCAGGACAGGAAGAGGGTGACCTGACGGTGGGGAGAGGCAGGCACCAGATTAACCGGGTGGGGCTCAGCATCATGGCCCCAAGTCTGCCGACGTCACGCATCCTAACACGAACTAATAAGATGACACATCACCTCTCGGGTCTCGTCCCAGAACCCAGAGCCCCACTCTAACCCTGAGAAGACAGCAGACAAACCCAAACTGAGGGACACACCACAAAACACCTGACCCGTCTCCTCAAACTGTCAAGGACGTGGAAAACAAGGTTTAGAAACAGCCACGGCCCAGGGGAGACTGAAGGGACAGGATGACTAAATGCAGCTCAGCACAGGGGTAGGATCCTGGGACAGAAAAGGGGCATCAGCAGAAAACCTGGCACAACCCAGTAAGTCTGCGGTTTCGTCAACGTTAACTTCTTAGCTCTGCCAAAGTTCCACGGACAAGTAAGATGTTAGGGACTCTGTGCTGTCTGTGCCACTCGGACACAGAATTATCCCAAACTAAGGAGTTTTATAAAACTACTGTAGCTAGTATACAGAAATACAATTGACTTTTGCTTATTTTTGTATTCAATGACCTTGCTAAGCTCATTTATTAATTCTAATAATGTGCTTGTAGGTTTTGTACTTTCCACATATACAAACAACTCACTTGCAAGTGGCAGCTGCTTGCCTTCTTCCTTTGCTATCTCTATACTTCCTACTCCTTTTTCTTGTCTTATTGCTCTGGCTAAGACTTACAGAATAAGGTTGAGCAGAAGCCATAACGTTGGGCATCCTTGTCTCATTCCCAATCTCTCAGGGGTGTAGAGGCTCAATGCTCTGTATTAACCACAATGGTAACTGTAGCCATTCTTTATCAGAATAAAGAAGTTTCTTTCTGTGAAGTGTGCGTGTGAGTTATGACACTACGTCTGACCACTGGCCTGGCTCTTTATCAGATCCAGCAGAAAGCTGCCAGCGGGCAGTGATGAACTCTACCTCCTGCACAGACTAAGAGCACACGAGGAAGAGGGGCGGGGCGCAGACCCGGAACACAATTACGGTTACAAACAACATCTAGGGTGCACCAGAGGAAAAAGGAGAAGGTGCGAGGAAGCCTCTGGAACTGGAATGTTCCATGGCTTCATCCGCGCAGTGGTGAAAGGTCATGGCACATGCGTAATGACGAATCAAACATTGCGCACCCAATGCACGTAGCCATATTTGTTTGTACCTCAACTGAGAAGATTAAGAAGTACAAACGGCGGTTGGGAAGGTTCTTCCCCGCTGGGCGGGCGGGGGCAGAACTTTGCTCCAGGCGCTCAAGGCCTAGAGGCCCAAAGACTGGCCGGGAGACCCAGGCGCCGGAGCAGGCAAGTTGAACTTAGCGCGCGCAGAGGCGGGGCGGGGCGGGGCGGAGCGGTGGGAGGGCCGCCTAGACCCGGCTGGGCTCCGGCGCCCGCTCCTACCGAAGGCGGACGCGCAGGGCCCACCGAGCGCGTGTGGGCGGCTTCTCCCGGGCCTCGGCCCCGACCCCCGCGCGCCCGCCGGCCCCGGGATGCTGCTCCGGCCCCGGCGGCCGCCCCCGCCCGCCCCGCCGTCCCCCGCCAGCCCGGACTCCGAGCAGCGGCTGGCGGGGGGCGTCCCCGGGACCCCGCCCGGGAGGCCCGCCTCGCCCGGCGCGCTGGCGGCGCCCGCGCCCCCCGGGTCGCCCGCATCCCCCGGGTCGCCCGTATCCCCGGGCTCGGCGCAGCGCACGCCCTGGAGCGCGCGCGAGACGGAGCTGCTGCTAGGCACGCTGCTGCAGCCGGCCGTGTGGCGAGCGCTGTTGCTAGACCGCCGCCAGGCGCTGCCCACCTACCGCCGCGTGTCGGCCGCGCTGGCCCGCCAGCAGGTGCGGCGCACGCCCGCGCAGTGCCGCCGCCGCTACAAGTTCCTCAAGGACAAGGTCCGCGACGCGCACGGTCAGCCGCCCGGGCCCTTCGACGCGCAGATCCGGCAGCTCATGGGGCTGCTGGGCGACAGCGGGCGCAGACGCGGCCGCCGCCGCTCCCCCGGGCCCGGGCGCCCCCCGCGCGGCCGCCGGCCAGCCCCCGCCGCGCCCGCTGAGCCGGGTAGGTGGGCTGGGGTGGGGGAGGGGCGGGGCGCCTCGGACCGGGGGAAGTGGACTGCGGGCCGGGGGGAGGGGCGGGCGCGCCTCACGCGACCACCCGCTCTGCGTTCCAGGCGCCCCACCGCTGCCCGCCGCCCGAGAACCCGACGCGGACCCCGCCTGGACGCTCAGGTTCAGCCCGTCCCCGCCCAAGTCTGCGGACGCGCCCCGCGCCCCCGGCTCCCCGACGGCCGTTTCCACATTCACCCCCGCGCCCGGCCGCCCCGAGGACCCCGAGCCCTTCCGCGCCCCCGCCTCGCCGCCGCTGCCGTCGTCCCCCGGCCCCACCCGGGAAGATCCCGACTCGCCGCCTGGTCGCCCGGAGGACCACGTGCCCCCGCAGCCCACGCCGCCGTCGCTGAACGCCGCCCTTCTGCAGACCCTGGGGCACCTGGGCGACATCGTGTCCATCCTGGGCCCGCTGCGTGACCAGCTGCTGACCCTGAACCAGCACGTGGAGCAGCTGCGCGGCTCCTTCGACCAGACCGTGTCCCTGGCCGTGGGCTTCATTCTGGGCAGCGCCGCCGCCGAGCGAGGCGTCCTGGCCGACCCGCGCCAGTGAGGCCCGGCCGCCTCGGTCCTCTCTGCAGGGCCGCCCCTCGGCCCTGACCCCTCCTGCGGCCCTCCCCCACCGCTAACCTAGGTATGGGTTAAATAAAAAGATTGCTTTTTCCGACTTAATCCTGTGAGTGTGTGCGGGCCCCGCACTGGGTAGGAATGTAGGGCTGGAGGTCAGGGCGAGGTTAAAATGGCCTCGGCATCCCGGGGAGGGGCCAGGAGGGCTGGGGTGGGCTGGGGCCCCCTTGGGATGCTGCCCGGTCCTACCTACCCTGGCAGGCCAGTCTCCAGTGGGGAGGGGGCTGTGGGCACGTGGAACCCGAGGTCGGGGCCCTCACTGCACGCCAGCTTCTCCAGGTCTCCTGCCCCTGCCCCCGGGACTTCCCACCAGGCAGACCAGCCATGGTGGGTGAGCGCGGCCGGGCGGGGAGGAGGAGGAGGGAGGGTCCAGGGAAATGGCGACGGCCGGGCTCGGCGGAGGCGGTGGGGGGAGGTATGATCGGTCTCCAGCGCTCACCGCCGGCCGCCCAGGGAAGCGTCTGAGGCTCTTGGCTGGGTTGGGTCAGGCAAGGAGGTGCGGGGCGGAGGGGGCAGGAGAGCTAACGCACGCCCAGGGAAGGCGCTCCTTTCGTCGCCAAGGTGACTGGGTGGGGGGCAGCTGGAGCTGGGGGTCTGAGATCTTCGACCTTGGCAGAGGCCCGGGTCCCTGCAGTTTCAGGAGGACTTTATCAAAATCGCCCGAGGAGCATTTTCCAAATAGTACCTGAGGGCCCCACCCCGGGCCGGTGGATCAGACCCAGTGGGGACAGGGCGGGGCCGGAGGTGCTCACAGCCGGTGGGAAGGAGGAAGTGGCCCGAGGGGTTGGCCAGCATAACAATGCAGGCTCCGGCTGAATGCGGGGCAGCTTCTCGGCGACTAGGGGCTCATTCAGAGACTTAAGTGATCGCTCTGGGCCACAAAGGTAAAAGAGGGAAGGGTGTCCCCACGGGCCCTACGGTCCTTGCCCTCTGGCATCAGCCCCTCCCCCAGCCCTTTCCTGGAGCCGTCTTCCAGGAGGCCCCAGTAGGGCCCTCTGCCTGCAGGGACGCCGGGCAGACCAAGGCTGCGCCTATCCTTCAGCCGCGCACTGATGGCAGGGCCTGGGGGCTCCGCGTGAAAATCCCAGATCTTCATTTAAGTAAGACACACTGGCCTCTGCTCCACGAGGCTGTTTGTGCCCTGGTCCCTGTGAGTCCGGAAGCCACCAAAAACCTGGGGTGGGCTGATTCGAGCTTGTAAACACCCCTCCCCACCCCCACACGCCCCCGGAAGGCAAGAGCCACGGGCTGGCGGGGTCTGAGCCTTGGGACACATCCCAGCAAATATGCCAATCCCCCAGGGGTGGGGACGACGTCAGCCGACCCTCTGCTCTGGAGAAAGGCTGTTCGGGGGCTTGAAATCCGTGTAAGTCTCCGAGTCTGAGATATTTGGGGGCACCAAGGAGAACCCATCTGCCTTACTGCCCACGTTGCCTGGGGCCCGGGACGCCACATCCCATGGCTTTCTCCTTGGGGCTCTATGTTGCAGTAGTGACTCTGAACACCCCTACCCCGGGCATCGCTAACGTCTTCCAGCCTGGTGAGGGGAGAGAGCGTGTCTCACCCCAACTCCTTGGCTAGCGGCTTTAGTTTTAACCTTCAGCCATTCCTGATGCGAGGAAATTCTCAAATCCCTTCTTCTGGCCCTGCCGTGACTCCCTTTGGCTGTGGCTCTCTCGTGGGCCTGTGGGGTGAGGTGTGTCCCTGTCCCGCTCTGTGACACGTGTGTCTTAAGCCGGGCATCCTGGGTTTGGCTCTGCACCTGTGCGGTGGACACACCCCAGTGGGATGGTGTCCCGGCCATGAGAACATCTTTCCTTGTGCCAGACCCCAAGTGCAGGGCAGCGACCCAGCAGGGTCTCCTAGGACCAGTCCTCAGGTTAGTGCCCATCTCGTCTCATCAGTGGCCCCTTGGCCAGCAGATTCACCCTTTTTATTTTATTGTGGTAGAATACACATAACATTAAGTT